GGATCAGCTGGTCTACTCCGAGCCCCTTCCTTGTCCCTGACCTGGAGAAAGCATTCTACCCTTTTCCGACTCAAGACCATGGTCTCGTGATTAGAGGAAGGGATTCTTATCCCAGCTGCTCCACACTCGGCTGCGAACTGCTCCAGTGAAAGCTGGAGATCACGTTCTGATGAAGCCAACTGGACCGCATCATCAGCTACAAAAAGCAGAGACCTGATCCTCAAGCCACCTAAACAAATTCCCTCAGCTTTTGACTAATGCAACAGTAATAAAATGACTTCAGAATCTGGTTTTGGTCTGGACCTGATTTGGACTGGATTAGCTGCTTTCGGGATATCGCTCTGAGATTAATTTTGCTCTAAACTGGCCCTCTATTAAAATAAAATAAACTTTAAAGAGCAAGTCACCCCCTACCAGAGTCTTACTCCACTCCCACTTCCTGTTTAAAAAGTGCAAAAAAGGCAGTTGCCTGGCAGATCAAAGGGCAGAGTCACTAGCAAAATACACACACACACACACACACACAGGCTCACAACGACATTGTGACATCATAATGTACCAGCTAATGTCATACTCTTAGCCAATGGCGATGGCAGATTTAAATTCAAATGTACTGCAGAGGTTTTACCAAAAGACAGTGTGGCAGTGTGAGCGTCCTGTCACAGTGTCCCTAATGATCATGCGCCCTGGCTATTTGGCCAAGGGGATGTCCCTTTGGCTGACTGGTAAGCACGCATGACTCTGACCCGGGAGTCTGGGGATTCAAATCCCGCCTGGGCCCTCGTTTCTCCACCTTGCCACAACAGCACAACGCTGACAGCTTTAGGTAGAATATTTAAATTTTAACTAAGGTGTGATAAAGTGCCAAATTATTGACTACATGTGTCTACAGCACAATTAGACACTCATTTCTTTAGTTTATCAGCAAAAAAAATGTTGATTTGGGGGTGACTTGCTCTTTAATGTGTCACAATCACCACCAATTTAATTTTGAAACACCTGAAAACACTTCTTTAAGTTAGCTTTTGATTAAAATTCAGTTTGAGTTCCTTCCAGGTAATAAAGTGAATGTTTCCCTGCATTTTTCTTCTTTTTGAGCCGTGGAAATAATTTAGATTTTATTTGTTTTGTTCAGCTCTTGTTGTTCTGATTACACCCAGCATTTAGCCCACCCATAACAAATACGCAAACTAAAATTAAAGAAAATAGGGAAAATTCTGCACTCTTGAAGAGTCGTAGACATTATTCAGCTTGCTAGGTCTTTGACTCATACACAATAAAAACATTTTTAAAGAACTGCTGCTATTTCTAAACTTTCAAACCTCATCTCCCAGCAATCAGACACCAATTATTCCAATTAAAGCAAATGTCCACAAAGTAGGAAAAACCTATGCTGGTTGTCTCTTTTATACAATATAATTAGGAAATCAGAAACAACTATTATATGAGGTTTTCATGTTTGAAAATATAATTAAAACTTGAAAATTATGACTATACAAATCTGTATTTATGTAAAAACACACATTCTTTCATTGATGTAAATATTTTTAGTTTCCCTCTACATTTACTTTTTTTTTATTTCATTTGTTATTAATTTTTAATCTAAAATCCACTTGATTCTTCCTAATTTTAAAGTTTAAACTCCTTTTGTGCTCCCACGTGACTCATAAAATGTTGGAATAAAGTATAACTGGGAATTTCTCATTAATGATTCATTAACTGCCACGTTGTGGTATTAAGCACCCTCCATATTCATTTGTGAGCCGCTTTAAGTGTCAGCAAAAAGCGTTTTCGTCCTGTGGGGAAACTGTTTCCCTTCCTCCTACCAACATCTCCCTGCAGCAATCTGAAAATAAACCTAAAACAAATCATCTGACACTTTTATATTTGTGTTGGCAAATGTTCTGAAGCTTATGCTCAGAGACCCGCAGGTCTAAAATGGTAATAGCCAACGTGCAAGCTGTGCCAAACACCATCTCCCAAAACAGATGAAATCTCCCACGATTACGTTAAATCTGGCAGCACCAACCGTGATCCTATTTATATGGTTACTGACTCGTTTAAACATAAAATCAAAAGTTCAGACATAACTAGAAATACTGAACAAGCGTTTATTGCTTTTTGAGTGGAGTTATGGAGGGAGCACCCGGGAGACTCTGCGTGTCCACATCTTTACAGTAACAGTGATGCCGAGGCAGCTTCAGCTGTTACAACTTGATTAGGTCACAGATCGGCTCCTCCTTTTGCAGTTTTCTGCCTCTGCAACAGGAAGCATCACCCCACATGCACACACACACACAAACACACACACACACAAACACACACACACACAAACACACACACACACACACACACACACACACACACACACACACACACACACACACACACACTCCCACCCAAATGCTTTAATACACAGAAAATCCTTATACAGTCAGTTTTAGCTGTGACGGGTATTGAACTGGCTAATTGCCCCGAGGTCTGTACCTAATTGATGGCTATTTAAAGTTTACTAAATGAAAAATTTATCAGTGTGTCATAGCTCAGCCCTTAAGGCCCATTGGTGACGTGACTCTGTCAAAGTCTATCAATCATCAAATTCTGGTGTGCCCCTCCAATCCTAACAACTGAGTGAATATCTGTCTTATTGGAAGGATTTTACATTTTATTCACTCTGTAATGATTAGCTAATTGTTTCTGCCATGCTAATGTACATCCCAGTTCATGATTTTGACTTCACGATGGCACCGGTTTAATCTTCAGTCTTGCAGTCAGGACAAAGCTCATTTCATTTAAACCTACCAAATCCTACTTAAAGTTCCCCCTTGTTAGCAACATCTACACGCTAGGAAATTAAATGTTGAATTTAGTTAACCAAGTTATGTCAACTGGTTCCACTAAACTGCAGGTTCACTGAGAAACAGTTTTTAACCTGTTAATTTTTAAATTTGATCAAATTAATCTGAGTTTAACATGCAGGCTAATAATGAAAATAGTCTTCTACCCCTTAGTTCTCGCATTAGCCGTCGATAGAATATCGAAACGAGCAGGTCAGAAAGTCACACAGCTCTACGTCACACTGAAAATTTACATTCACTGACTCACCCACCTTGGCTTGCGATCGTGTGAGGCTGATTTTGATTTAGCATCCAGGAAACAGCAGAGTGCGTCTCGGCAAGTAGAAGCTAACCGTTAGCATTAGAAACTCCACAACACGGCAGAAATCTTTCAGGCTTGTGTTATTTGTGGAGCTAAAGCATCAACATTGCAGAGCTAATTAAAGCCTAGGTTATGCTTCTGCATCAGCTCCATGAGGGAGACACACACACACACACTGAAAGAGACGTTTGACTTCTCTGTCTTCTGGGGAGTGTTGCAAAGTAATTCCCCACCAGAACATCAGAGGGCGTAGCGCTGTTCTGGGGTATCCTGTCATGTATCCGGTCCAAGATAATGCTTTTACTATTGTGTTTACATTGTGTTTGTATATTTCAGATACTTTTTAACAGGGACAAATTTGTCCCTCATTCTCCTCCACGTCTTCATGCGCTCGCCACCTCTAAACCCACATTTCCTGTCATTTTCATCCACGAATAAAACTCTGGCTGCTTATCTTTTCACTCATCCAGTCATGGGTGAATAAAATGCTCATTTTAGCATTTTTCTGTGAGGTATTCTTCAAGCTGCTCCTTGTCTGCAACCAGATAAATCACATTTTCTTTGTTTTTGAGGGGGCAATGGCGGTGCTGCTGGCCAGAACGGCATCCTGACCAATTACAAGCTTGTGCTCTCCGTCTTGTTCAACTGATGTTTAGAAAAGTGAGCTTGACTCCATCCGACATTGCAAGCCCGCTTGAGAGCCCTTGCAAGGACCAATAACGGCATAGTGTGTCTTCGTACTGATACAGAGCCATTAACTAGGCTTAAAGCAGTGGATGAGTCGCATTGCTGTCGGTTAGCCAATCAGAGGTGATGTGTTTAAATATCATGAGTAATAGTGAGGAAGACTCATAATCCTGATGTTTTCTGCCGCCCTACTCTTCCAGCTAACTTCTACTTCCTGAAACGGGAGCACCAGAGCTTTTATTCTCACAGAGAACACTCACTCTTTTTTATACAAGAGATTGCTGCAGATTTAGTGGGAGGAGGAAGAAAGGAGTGAGTGTTAATTGTTCAAAGTGATATACATTTATGGCTAAAATAACAACTCTTAACATTTAAGCCCAAACTTGGTTGAGTAAACTCAAAGTAAATTTTTTTAGAGTGCATGTGTACCTCTTACACCTTTTCTGTAACAACCCCTCTTGTTGTCTCCTTCAGCCTCTTAAAGCATTCAGCTGGAGGCTATAAACCAATACTCTCTACCTCTAAAAAGAAGGATTTAGAAAGTCATTTTTAAACTCTAGTAACAAAAAACTAGATATTGTTGAATAAAATGCTTTAACCCTTCCACTGTCCTCATGGGTGACCCCGCCAGGAAAGGTGACCATCGAGCAGGGTTGATGGTGTATCCCTTTATGTCCACGTGGCAGGGGTGAGGTGGTGCTCGCTCCTCACACTTTAGTTTTTCAAAGTGTTTACCAGTGTTATATAAGAAAATTGCACCTGATTAATAGAGGTTTAAATGCGTATAATTTCCCACTTAACAGAGTAATAAAAGTAAAAAAGGACCTAATCGAAACACACTTTCTAAATCAGCATGTTGTATTTCTGGATTAAACAGCAGTAGTCCATTACCCGCCTCCTTTCTGATTGCAGAGAGACCCACACAACTTTAACTGCCAGCATTTAAACCAGCTTGATTAAAACAAACATTGCAATTGCATTGACCTCAACAATCATTTTAACATACAGGCTGCAAACAACAGCTCTGCTGAAACAATTACTGTAAATGTTTTGAAGTAAAGAAGAAATTTTAAAAATGGGAAATTAATTGCTCTTGAATTTATTCTAGCAAATTTGAATCTATAAAAGCTTGAATATCAGCTGGAGATTCCTACCTGCAGGTGCTGCTTTTCTGCATCACCTCCGCTCTGTGGTAACCAGACAGCTTGCAGAAACCATCGTTGCTGTAAACAATGGGCCAGTCCACTATCTGAGCGTTCCCCAGGACAAAGTTGGTGTCTGTTTTAAAAAAAAGAAAAGAAAAAGAGGCAATAAACTTGACTAATTACAATATTTAATAAAACACAGTTATGTACAAATAAAAATAAATCATAGTTAGAAAAAAGATTGGTGCAACTGACCAGAAACGGAAACATTTTGAGCTTTTTATTCAAAATTTAAGGATGTTTACATAGGTTTGTGTTAAAACAATGTCTATTAAATGGATTTATTTATCAAGTCTATAGTAATCATTCGGATAGTGAAAACCTTAAATGTATTTATTGAATAAATTCACTCGGTGGTTTCATTTTGTAAAAATTATGGAATAAGACCATTTTTTTTATTGTTTAAAAACAAGAGAATGCTTAATTGCTATTAATGTTCACGATGGTCTACGGATCATTTCACGCTCTACATGGAGTAAATGTTACCCAAACACAGACTGAGTTAAAGAAGAAAACAACAAATGTTTCATGTACTTTTTTTTTAGCAGAAACATTAAATAAAATATTTCGTTTGTAGCAATTTTGGTAAATAAATAATAATTCTCTTTGCCACTTCTCATACAGAATTTATATAATATTTTGTATTTGCAAAAGCTAATATTTTAGCTACTTTCTAAGAAAACAAGAAATGATATTGTTTCTAATTTGGTACATTGAGCATATTTAGAAGTATTTTCCCCAGTTGCTAAAGGTTAAACTCCCATTAGTCATCACACTGGTGAAAGTACATTTCCATATTTAACCCATCCTCATAGTGAGCAGTGAGCTGCAGCAGTGGCTGCGCTCGGGAACTTTTTAGTGGTTTAACCCCACAACCATGACCTCCCAGTCTGAGGGTAGACACTCTACCACTAGCCTCTATGTTAAAGTTCTTTGGTGTTAAAATGTTAAAGGTGTTGAACACTCATTTAATCAATACACTTGCAATGGTCTCTGGTAAGAATGAACGCCTTATAAGTTTTACTCCATAGCACCTGGATCAGCACGGACAAGTCTGCTGCAGCGGAGAGTGGCAGCAGACAGCAGCATCTCGAGTCTTATTTCCTAATACAGGGAACCTAAATCTCCTCCCTTTCCAGTCGGCTCATGGTTCCCCGGAAGAATGAAAAATGAATGCAAGTCAACGGGGCTAAAAGAGCTATTGTCTAATCCACTTTACCTCACGCCCTGAATCACACATAAGTTGCACTTCCACATATTAAAAGTAATGATGGGTGTTTTGACCACGCCTGTCACGTACTTTGAGATTTATCAGTTTGTAAAAGTTCATAATTAGCATGGCTACAAATTAGACATTAATATGTCGCATATATGATGTCACCACAGAATCTCCTCTCCTCTAGAGAGGCTGCTACTTACCACAAGACCAGATTTAAGATGGTTCTTTCCTCCTGAAGGAAGGAATTGAAATTCACTGAACTTAAAGACATTTTCCTCTGCTTTTCTCCGTGTCTAGTTTGATGACGACAATTTGGTGATCCACATTTGTAGTTCTGGACACATTTTCACACAAAACCTAAAATTACTTTTCCCCCCGTTCGAAAATAAGCACTTTCTTGGGTTCAAAATGCATCTTTAAAATTCATATGTGAAATCCATGGCACACAACAAAAAGGGGGTAAGAAAATAGCTTTAATAGCCCCATTAGCTTGAATTCATTTTATCATTTTTCTGAAGACCCATGGTCCAGACGTAGATGGGCGTGACTTAGGCTCCCTATTTGGACATCTTGTTTGTGACTGGATAACAGTAATGAAACTCTACTACTGACTCTGTTTGCTCTGCAACATGGACGTTTTATCTCCACAAATAACACAAGCCTGGAGCAGCTTCTGCCATGTGGCTGAGTTGCTAATGCTAATGGTTAGCTTCTGCTAGCCGATGCTGTTTCCTGGATAAACAACAACAACCTTCTCAGTCGCAAGTCAGAATAGGTGAGTCTATGCGACTGCTTGACGTAGATTGGTCAGTCTTTTAAAATATAATTTCACCATCTATTTCCTATGAGAAGCTAATGCAGGAGATAGGTGTAGGAGAAAATTTTCCTGTTCAGTCAGCATGAAAAACTCAGTGTGACTGATTTTATTCAGAAATAATCATTAAAAAAATGTTTTTTCAGTGTTCCACACCTTTAAAGTTTTTGATGCTTTAATTTGCTTCCATTCCATTCAAGTAGCTGTGTAACTAAAATGTGCCCTGGGCCTTTTATTAAGAGCTGGGTTTTTGAGAACAACGATTAATAAAACATGCAAATTACTGTGTTGTGTTTATTCAGCAGAAAATAACTGAATTATTTGTTTCAAACCTACTGTTTACATTTTACAAATACTGTCATTTTTGTGACCGTAAGAATGTCTAATGATTTGCACATCTGCATGTGATTGGACATTTTAACAAGCTTTTTACTATTTAAATGTGCAAAGGAAATTAAACAATCCCAAAAATGACAACACATCCGTATAAAAGGACAAAGGGGAGAAGCTGCAAACATCTGCTCACAAAAACAGAAAATATTCAACCACATCAAGACACACAGAAAAACACGTCTTTAGTCACACTGACACGAGACGACAGCTCAACGTGAGAACACGGTGACAAGGGATGATGCACAAGACGATTCCATGCTGCTAATGTGTTATTTATGATGATCACATGCATGCTGAGAAAAGGAGCATAAAGTCAAAAGATCGCTAACTCTTATTATTCCTGAATGTCTTCGATGACTCCTGTGTTGCAGCAAATGTTTCATCACTAAAGACGATTAATGTGATTTGGAAGTTAACAGCATTTGCGACAGAACATTCAGAACATTACAAAGATACTGAGAGAGAGAAAAAAGGGCACGCTAGAATAAACTTGATAATGTACCTGTCTGTCTATGTGACAGTGTCCAAACTGAAATGTTTGAAAAGAAAAGAAGGTTAACAGAATACAGGGAGAAACGCGTACCGAATGTCAGACAGAGAAGATGGGCTGTCAATCAAAACACAAACACAACTGGGTCGATTTAGCCTGGATGGGTAAAGGCTACCAAATAATAAATACAGATTTATGGTGCACCGGTTTCAAACTTTTCCATTTTCACTTTTTCAGTTTTTAGATGGCATAAATCATTAATGAATGCTTTTTTTTATCTTTTTCCAGCATAACCAAACTTTACTGAGCTTTGGCTGAAAGGAAAAAGTGAAAAACTAAAAAAGAATTCCCTTAAAGACCCCATATCTTTCATGTAAAAATGTATCATTTTAAAAGAGCTAGAAATACTGAATCATTAAGGTTTTATCCAGGTCTTCTTTGCTATTCATGATCTATACCTTGTACTGTGTGAATACAGAAACCAGACAGACCAGAATCCAAAGCAGATAAGTTAAGTCTTATTAGCAACCACAGATGTGATTTCTACACAGTTTGTAAAACTAAAAACTAAAATTATCCCCAAAATTTGTAAACAGTCATAAATGCACTGCTGGATTTCATTTAACAGCAAAACAAAAGTAAATATAGCAGCAATTTTCTCCAAAGTGAAATAAAAACAATTTGATTTGCATCCAAACTGCTTAAGATTTTATTGCGTTCTTGTTTCTAGTTCCCAAAATGAACTCTTAGTTATGAGTTAAGGGCTCCATTAAAAGTACACAAAGAAGGACTTTTCCTCTGCATGACTGCTAACTTTGGTGCTTTGTGTCCATTTTACACATTTGACATGTATTTTCATACATTTCCTCTCAGGCTAGGCTGATGCACCGTCACCGTGCATCAGGATCATGTGGGATACTGAGGCAGGATGAAGGGTTAAAGCTGATGCACTAGTGTTATCAGATGTGTGAAGAAGCTTTGTGATTTCAGGCCCGATGCATCTCTGCACACTTAGACAGCTGCACAATCAGCTGACCTCATGTCACCCAAAAGGGAAAGGTTGGTGATGATGTTTTTGCCTGTTTCTGTGGCTGTGTGTGTTTAATGTCCTGTTGGCTAAAGTATTTCTGGACAGATTTTCATGAAACTTGCAGAAAGCAGATTTGGACTTCTAGGGTCAGAGATGGATGCCACAGCAAAAGGGCATTAAAAAAATGACCATAACTCGATCAAATTTACAGATACTCAGCCACAATTTGGTGTTTGGGTCATCTCCAACGTGGAAGCACCCAACTTCTTCATTAAACGACACAGGGTCATCCCTGATAATTATCATAAGTATCATAAACTGAACTGGTGTTGATGATAATGAAAAAGCAATCACTGGATGGACACCTGCAACTGATTAACTATTAGAAACAACCTGATTCAAAAACAAGCCTCACCACCACCATGCATTGACATCAGAAACAAAGCTGGGTAGCATTCTGTCATTTTTTACAGGTGCTGAGCTACAAATGTTATAGCTGAAAGTCTTTTACAACAGAAACTTTGAGTGCTGACACATCACTGAGGATTTTGCAGCGTTGAATGATTTTCTTACTAAGATTCGACCAAAATAACTAGAACTCTGACATTTCTCAAACATAATCTAAGTCTGAAACATTAGCATGAAGCTGGGCGGGTGATATGCATTCTTTCTGATGCTAATTTACAGCTTCAGAGAGTCAAAGAATGAAAGCTGGGAGATTTGTTGAAGGATAATAATATATTCTTTTGTTTGTTTGTTTGTTTGTTTGTTACTTTGTTTGGTACGAACAGTTGTGTAATCTAAGTTCTTCTCAGGGAGAGAATTAACAATCGTCCTTATCAGATGCAGCAAGCACATTGTCACATACAAGCATGTTTCATAAGATTCTGCCTCCTATCAGAATATCACGATTTGTCTATGTTCACTTGCATTTCTTCTTTGCATTCAATAAGATTTTGGACATTAGGCCATTTCAGACATTACATATTGAGCAAAAACACCCTTCTATCACATCAAGTCGTCATCAACATCATGATCACCATTTGTTTTTTACACCTGCTATTATAAAGGTTTAAAAATGTCTGCATGGAAAAAGCAGGTAAGGTAGGTTAATACACAATTCAGATGAATTTTTAGACTAATCGCTCTCCAATAACAAATTATTCTGAATTATTTCAGCTAAATCTACCACTATATTTACAAATGAATAAATAAATGCACAAGCATGAAATTCTGAGTGTCCACTTACCTCAAGCTATGTTAGCATCCCGCAGATTAAAGTCTAATCTCAGCCAACCTTGGTAGAGATATGCTGCTTAGTAATCTAAAGACAGATTATTTTGTTTGGTTTTTGAAAAACTTTATTTCAAAAATATTTCAGGGATTCAAAAATGACAAGATTCTCGAGTCTTTCTGAAAAACATATTTGTTGATGAATAGATGGATCATTGAATAGGGGTCAGCATAGCTCCCAATAATGAAACATTGGATTTAAAGTTTAAAGCTTGAAGAAAGTCTGCTTGCTTGTGTAGTTTTACAAAAATGTGAAGTTTTCTTGGTTTTAAAATGAAAAAAGGTATATTCATATACCTTTTTTTCTGAATCTGTTTATGTGCTGAACATTAAATCCCATCAGACATTTTAAACAAAAACACACATTTGTGTTCAGACTACAGTTTGGTGATAATCCATCACTGTGGATTTTAGTAATCTCTGTCAGAAGTTAGATCTGCACAACTCTCTAGCGGTCCATAGATTTCTCAGCAGAGACTTTGTGTCTCCTTATGTAATCAGTGTGATGGTTACAGTGACCTGCTGTCTTTGCACCGCAGGGATCTGAAATTGAAACTCCTTTAAAAATCCCATCATTATGAAAATTATTAAACCTTCACTAATTACATTAATGAGATATTGGCTGTGCATAAAGCTTTAAAAACCAAACACTCCTAATGTCAGTTTTCAGTTTACTTTTAAACTAAAGCCCCTTTAGGTCAGCAAGTAATTAACACCGCTTCCTCTTTCATTTTCAGTTATTTAATTGCTTTTAAATACGCTGTCAAACAATCATTTTTATTATTTTCTTCTCATAAACAGACCGATTTGTTTACATCTCACCAGAACAAATAACAAATCCAGAGCCTTACCATTCGACCGTCTGACAATATTTTCCAAAAAAGTATTCTGGGGGGCCACAAGTCCCCTCCGACCCCCCGCCATGCTGCAGCTTCACTCAGTCCTCCGCATATGAAATTTTACTCCTCAGTTTGCTCTTCATGGTGACTCCAGTGATCAGAGGCAGGGTGGATTTGGTGGACAGGATGTGTGTGTCTGTCTGGTCCGCTCATTATCCGCCTCCTCACCCCAGTTCTGCGCTGGCGTCTCACGCACCTCATCATCATCACCATCACCATCCAGGAGTGGAAAACAACACCGGGGTGCAGCGTACAGGAGGGGCAGTGGTGCTCCTCATCCCACTGATTCCTCCATGAGTGGATCTGGAGCACCACCTACTGGATAAAAAGACAACAGAACAGCTCACAAAGGTGGATCTAAGGCAGGGCCATCCTGCATGATTTTTTAATGCTCAAACACACCTGATGCATCAAACTCCACCCACTGATAAAACCAGGTGTGTTGAAGCAGACAAACCTCTACAGCATGCTGGATAGGAGCTCTCTAGCAGCATTGGACACCACTGATCTAAGCAAATCCTCATTTTTTAAGGGCCCGCTATCTTGCATGGTTGTCTTCACGATTCAACACAACTGATTCAGGGCTTTTCCACACGTCCTCAAGTTTCCAAAAGACTGTTAACCACAGACCGAAGCAATCCAGGTGAGCACATCAGCACAGAAACATGCAGGTTAGTGGCCTTCCAGGACCAGGATCGATATTGTCATGATATCCAAGGTCCAACATCCTGTTTGGTCAGAGCACTCGGAGTAGGAAGATGTTATATATTAAGAACTCTGACATAAAGATTTAAGATTCAAGAAGAAGTTGATTACAGCACCGGTTCGGTTCTCATACAATCACATCTCCATCAGAACAGACAACGTCTAAGTGCACTTTACCTTGGTCTGATCCCCCTGCACAGTGGGTTGAACTTCATAGCAAGTGGGTGATTTGGTTCCTTAGGCCTGCTGTCAATCAGAACTAGGCGTAATCTCTTGTTTGTGTACCAAATATACAAATGTCAATGTGTCATTAGCAAGCCTGAGGTATCTAAAGGTGACATCACACCTTGGTGAGATCACATCTGTTACTGGGACATTCCCTACGTTCAGCATGTCATGTTAATTAGTAATCTGTTGCTAAAGCAAAAGATAGAGAGAGAGAATATGTTCTTCACAGGTATACCATATAAGGACCGTCATAAACAGAATTAGGACAGAATTAACTAACATCACAATAATGTCCACACTCAACTATACAGTGGATTGAATAGAAGGATTAGTGAATAATGGTCCCATTCCATAGGAGCCAAGAGTTCTGAGGTTTCTGGAAATCCTTTTAGAGCAGTGTTCCACAGGGTCAAAATTCCCACGTGAGTTTGTAAAATATTGATTTGAAATTATTCCCGTCGTTAATCATATTTAAATGATTGCAACATAAAAAAACTGGACATCTTTCTTTGTTTCAAGACGTACAGTTATAAAGAACATAGTCGATTGTGTTGTCACATGTCTCCTGATTCAGTTTGCTTCCCAAAATGTAGAATCAGAGCCCAATGGTCAAATGTTTGGGATGATCTCCAGAAATCAAACACGTATATTTCTCGTTTTAGATCAGTAGCTGAAAAGTTTGGAAATCACTGTTGAGAGAACTTCCATATTTTTTTTATGTGGATTAACTTGTGAGGAGCATTAATAAAGAACGATGTGACTTTTTCTTTCTCTGATCCCTGCAGTACCTTTGGTTCTTTAAAGACCACATTTCCCACTCCGCCTCATTAATCTTGTTCATGTTAATTCAAAGCTGCTGCACAGCCTAAGCTCAAATAAAAGTCAAAAACAAAAAATGCCTTTGATGAAATTATTTCTTGTCTAAAATGGCTGCACTAAATGCGCCAGCTACAAAGAAGCTGTCATAAAAGGTACCCTGACACCTGTGAGATCAGAAAACTGCAGGAAGTCTCGGCTGCAGGTCTACATCAGGCTGGATGGCTACTATGGAAACCAGCAGGGCGGTGATTTGGCAAGCACTGAATGTTGTGTGCTAAACCAATTAGAAGTGAATCAACTGAACTTTGTAGTTTTTTCGGACTTTAAAGTGGAATTCACTCGCAGATAGCAAGCTTACATTGAAACAATATAGATTTTTCATCTGAATCATCAGAATGGTTGGCATTGAAATGTTGATGAAACTAGATGTTGAAGAATGTTGCAAAACCAATTAATCCTGACAGAAACAGCATGATATTGTAAAAATTTCTCTCAGTTGAAATATAAGTGAAAATGTATTGATCTGTAGTTGTGTTGAAATTTCGAAGTTGTTTTAATATTTAGGTTAATTGAAATACAATTGTAAAGGCATTGGTTTATGGTTAATTAATCAATATTGTTTCAATATTAAATTTAGGTGCAAAATGATGTTGATTCAATGTTTTAACATTGACGATGCAATGTGGATTCTACATTGTTTCAAAGTAAGCTTGCTAGCTGTTTTTAGCAGTGAACCTACATAAAGGGAGGAGAAATTAATCTCGTCTATAAATATAAGAACCTGCAGATCTTGTTGAAAGAAAATCTGACAGTGATTGCTTTGTTTGATGTTGTGACACTTTAAGTGGTTGAGGATGCCTTCATCCCTTTATATTCAACCAAACAATCAATCACTTTATTAAAGACACAATAAGGTCCATAGCAGATAATAAAAACCTAAATAAGTTAAAAAAATGCTAGCGCTGTTACAGAATAACATAAAGGTTAATAGGCCAACAATTCCACATTTAGGGAGCCTAAGTCTCCTCCCTTTCCGGTCATAGATCCCCGGAAGAACGAAAAAACTAATGCAAACCAAAAGGGCTAAAAGAGATATTTCCTAATCTGCTTTGTCTTAGGCCCTGGATCGCACACATGGCGTGCTGCAATTTAAATGGAAACTAATGATGGGTGTTTCGACCACGCCACTCACGTACTTTGAGATTTATCATCTTATACAACTTCGTAATTAGCATGACTACATATTAGATGTCAGCAAGTTGCATATATGGCATCACTACATAATCTCTTCTCCTCTAGCGTAGCTTCTACTTACCAAATGGCCAGACTTATGGTGGTTTTTTAAAGTTCCCGAAACTTACAGCCATTTTCCCTTTGTTTTTCTCCGTGTCTGGTTTCGTATAATTATTCGATTGCGAATAAATAATTTGAGCGCATTTGTAGTCCTGGACTTATTTTCACACAAAACTTAAATAATTATTTCATAGTTAAAGGTTTGCTTTTATTTATTTTTTATATATATAATTAACTAAAAAACAAATTAGTTTATTCATTTTATTAATAATTTTCTTTATTTCAACTATAATATTTTCAATAAGGATACAATTACTGAGGAATATGGGAAAGATGTGATTTACCTTTTATCAGTTTTAGCTATATTTTATCTGTTTTATCTACTTGGAGTAATTTTATTGTTTTTTGAACTATTATTCATTAAAAGGGTTTTCATTATTTGGACCCAAAAAAAGAAATATCGTCTCTCGTGAATCATTTTGGACCTAGTTAAATTTATTAGACTTGCTGATCACCTAAGCACTCCTTCTTAAGGGGAATTTTGTGTTTAGGATAACGAATCTTCATACTATTAGAAAAGCCCGGACCCTGGTCGTGTCTTACGAGTGGAGACAGCATCGCTTGAAGCTGGTGTACAGGGCTTACAGCGATATCTTAAGTTACCCTCGGTTCCCTGACTAGTGGGATCCAGATCCAGGACAGCGTGGAGATTTGTCCTTGGCCAGCCATTCCTCTGGATTCAGTCCTGAGAGGTAAGCCCAGAGAGTAAAACCCATTTTTGAGTCTGGTATTACTTCTCGCGCATTGGCAAGGGGCTTGAGAGTTGAACATTTTGATGCCAACCTGTCGAACCACAAATAAATACAATAATGGGTAATGCGACCATCATTTCTCTGACTTTTGCGCTAAATTTAAAAGAGGAACTTACTAAGTTAATAAATAAATAAAAGGTACTAATAATCATGTCCATAAAGTAATCTAAAGTGTGTATTTTCAAGATGCTATATAAATACAGGCCATTTACTCTTTTTTTTAAGTCACAACGGCAAGGATGGATCCTCTTAATTTTAATACAGGCGTGGTGACAAAAGAGCTTGTGAATAAAAACTCAAGTTAAATCAGATCAAACATCTTCAGCAACAAATTATAAGAAATAACATTCTCATTTGGATAAAGTCCTAATTTGTATGGAATCGGCAACCCCCTCAGCTGCCCTTGTCTGCTAGGTGCTGGCCATTGGAGGATGTGTTTCCACAATCATTGAAGCACGCGATGTCCGGGCTGATCGCTGGACTCCGCTAAAGATCAAAACGTCATCTCATTATTATTTTTCTCATGCTCTGGATTAATTGGTGTACATGTTTACTGCATTGGTGGCTATGAAACACAGCAGTTAAACAGGGTTTGCAGATACAGTTCCATAACACTCACCTGGACAGAGGTGGAACATGTACTCTCGCCACATGAATGTTACCATACCATACCAAGTTTATTGATAAAGCACATTTAAAAACAGCATGACAGCTGACCAAAGTGCTGTACAGTAGTAAAAAGAAAACCCCAAGATAAAAACAAGATAAAGATCATAAAAGAGATAAAAAGGATAACCTAAAAATTTAAAGGAAACATACTAGAGTAAAAACAAAGTCACAGTAAAAACATAATGCTAAAAGGTTAGCACATTTCAACAGGGAAGATTCTCAAACAATAAAAGCTTGGTCATTGATCAAAAGCTAAATAATAGAAGTAGGCCGTCAGACTTGAATCGACCCAGTTCTGGGGCCTGTCGAACACTAAGGGGGAGAGTATTCCAAAGTTTAGGAGCAGCGAATGCAAAGGCCCGCTCCCCACGAGATTTGTACTTCATTTTGGGGATGCACAAAAGCAAGTGATCTGCTGATCTCAGGGTTCTGGGTGGAACATAAAGCGTGAGCAGTTCTGACAGATGAGCAGGCGCTTGACGATTCAGGATGTTGTAAACAAAGGATAAGACCTTAAACTGGATACGATATTTAACTGGCAGCCAATGCAAGCGTGCAAGGACAGGTGAAATGTGACAGCGTCTAGAGGTGTTTGTCAGGAATCTAGCTGCTGCATTCTGCACTCTCTGAAGACGCTCAATTGCTGAGACACGGACACCAATAAGGACTGAGTTGGCATAGTCCAAACGTGAGGTGACGAAGGAGTGAACGACAGACTCCAGATGTGGTCGTTTGACTATTGACTTTAAACATCAGATGCGACGTAGTTGAAAGAAACAAGACCTGACTGTAGCGTTAATTTCTCATTGACTGATCAGAGTCAAGTTTCACTCCCAGACTGGTTACACTAGTTTTCAAATTCAACAAGGAGCATGATTTGAATTGACTGGATTAAAAAGAATGGCGTCGGTCTTGTTTTCGTTGGGAATTAGTCCCCGACAACGACCAATGACTCAAGAGCTTTAATGTACGCCCACCTAACAGGTGGGCCCTGGTCCTATAAATAGGTATGAGGACCAAGGATTGTCTCCTTTTAGTTCTTCAACTAGACCTGACTGCAACTGAGCTATCTTCAACCATCTCTCTACAACCATGACGAGCGAAGCAATCCAACTGTGCCAGTCCTGCAACGCGGCATACATTATGCCCGGCGACCTCCATGCCAGCTGAGACATCTGCCTTGAGCCTAGACATGCCGGCCTCGCCCTTACACCCCAGGCGGCCTGCCAGTTCTGGCACCTCCTGCCGGCAGCCGAGAAACTCTGGAGCGTGGATTATTTCACCGCCATCTTCGAGGGCTCTGAGGGCGGGTTCGCGGCGCCCAACACCGTCCCACTGGAGGAGGCCATGGACTTTTTTGACGACGGTCTGGAACCAGCTGGACCTGCGCTAGCTAGCTGCTGTGACACAGAGCAGCTTAGCTGCGCGGGATCCTCACACTTGTACTCGGAGGCTGCGGACCTTCAGGCTCCCAAACGGGTCCCGAACCCACACCTTCAGGACACCCACACACCGCTCCCTCCCATCCGAGCGTTGCTCCAGGAGCTGCCCGCCATCATCTTGGCAGTGGCGAGCTTCAAAGGACTAATGGCTCCCGCTCCAGCTCCCACTCCCGCCCCTGCTAAATTGGACGACTTGGCGGGCAGGTTTGGCGCGAAACCGACTCGCTGCCCTGACCCAGTGTTCCCGCAGTTCCCGGCAGCCATGGAGTACTGGAACGGCTCCAGAGTCGAGCCCACCCAGCTCAGGGCTCCTGTGTCCTCCTACACGTCTATCACTAAGGTGGAGAACCTCACCAAGCATGGCTTCCCGGCGGTTCTGCCCTTGGAGGCTGACTTGGCTTCCCTGCTCGGACCCAAGTTTAAAATGATGGATAGGCGAGCGGTTCCCGCTTCCAGGAACGACCAGCAGCTGGCACGGTTTGCTGACCGTTCTCACCAGTGCGCTGCGCAGATTGGCGCGGCCTCGAACAATGTGGTGCTACTCGCCTATGGCATCTCCAAGGCAGCGGAGACGTGTGACCTGCCTGAGGTATCCAAGGACCTCATCTGCAAGTCAGCTTATGCCATTTTGAACTTAAGTGCCGCCAACCTGGTCTGCACAGCTCGCATCTCCGCCTGGCAGACCCTCATCCACCGGCTCCTGTGGCTCAGAGCTCTTCCATCCATCCCGGAGCAGCTCCACAAGGAGATGCTGGAGGGCCCAATCAACTCGGACGTGCTGTTTGGGTCCAACTTCAGAGATGCCGTCGAGAGGGCTCAGAGGTCGGCTGACCTCTCAGCTACTGTGCACAGCCTGGTCCGACTCCGGCCCGGTCACCAGCACCGTGCCTCAACCAGATCCTGGGAAGACCACCGGGGTGCAAAGAGACGCTGCGCTGCCCGATCCAGCTCCAGACCAACGCAGGGTCAGCTGCCGGCGGCGGACCCAGAACCTCCGGTTCGCCAGCCACCGGCGCAGCACTCCAGACCAACCAGACCGCTTGCCCCGACCTGGACTTGGCAGTCTCAGGACGTCCGCAAGAAGAATCCAAGGAAATGACTCCTTGGGGGAAATGTGTGTGTTTTTGATTGTGATTATTTGTGTTTTGAAATAAAACATTTAAATCACTTAAAGAGCATCCTGTCACAACCTTGTACAGATGGTTCGAACGTACCGTCTGCTGTTCTCTCACACATGTTTCCCACACCAAGCACAACCTCTCCCCTCACACACCTGTCACGGGCAAGGGTAGAGTCGCTACCAATCCCCTCCACCGCCTTCTCGGCGCGAGAGCGGGGGTCAACCAGCGGTGAGGACTTTGTCATTACGCGGCGGCTCAGAGAGCTCAGCGAACGCGTGCTCTGCCTCCGAACGGCGCCTTCTCCCTGCTGTGACTGCTGCAAATCTGCACAATGACGATTTGGTACATTCATTACAACCACCAAAACGGGCTGTCATCTATGATCACCGCCCGTCTACACGAGCTTCGGAGCTTTTCCCACGCTCGCGCACTGGGGTTCCTCCGCATGCGCCTGACGCGCGGCAGCGCTCTCCGTACTCGCCGGCACCGCACAAACGACCTTGTCCATTTGTGAGGGAACCGGCGTCGACTGAGACACAACTCCGCGACCGGCCCTTTCCCAGCCGGCCCCCCATGGGTCGCTCCCGATATTCCTTCGGGTCAAGCGACAAAGGTAGGGGCCCGGACCTCGATTTTGGATGCGTTGCAGGCCCAGGCGCCGTGCACGCGCCCACGACTGGAGCCGCGTGTGCCACATGACCAAGTGGATTTGGGACATCATTCGCAGCGGCCACAGACTGCAGTTTCAGTCCCTCCCACCCCCGTTCTCAGGAATTGTGGAGACGACACTGACGTCAGCCCCTCACGCTGCCGCCCTCGGGGCGGAGTTGAGGGAACTCCTGTCAAAGGAGGCCATCTCCGAGGCTCTGCCAGGGGGGAACACAGGTTCTACTCCTGTTATTTCCTGGTTCCGAAGAAAAATGGTGGCTGCAGACCAGTCAAATTTGATGCAGAAACATTGTTTCAGTGACAAGTTATAGGGCGCAATCATTTTTTGGCAGGCTGAAAATGGCATATTATGGGTATTAATGGTCCTTTAAAAGGTTTTCAACAGTTTGAGATATAATGTGTCACATATAACCCTTTTGGATGATACCCAACAAGTTTGATGCAGAAATATTGTTTCAGTGACAAGATATAGGCCACAATCACTTTTTGGCAGCTTGAAAATTGCCCATTGTCAGTTTTATTGTCCCCTTAAAGGTTATTCAGCAGTTCTAATGGACTGTTTGTGATATAATAGGTAGGTGATATAATATAACGGTTCTGAATGACATCCACCAAGTTTGAAGCAGAAATAGTATTTCAGTGACAAGTTATAGTCCACAATCACTTTTTGGCAGGTCGAAAATGTCATATTATGGGTATTAATGTTCCTTTAAAAGTTATCCAGCAGTCCTTGGAGACTGTTTGAGATATGATGTGTCACATAAAACCACTTTGGATGATACCAGTCAAGTTTGATGCAGAAACATTGTTTCAGTGACAAGTTATAGGCAGCAATCACTTTTTGGCAGGTTGGAAATTGCATATTATCAGTTTTATTTTTCCCTTAAAGATTATCCAGCAGTTATACGTTATATCAGTTGCACAGAAGTAGCTAGCAACGCAAGTAATCCAGGCGCTGCAGCTTTAAGCAGCTGCGCGCGCTCCCGCGGACGGCAATCAGTTTCTGGCAGACGATCACTTTTGGGCACAACACCAGCTGCTGCGGTTCTCGTGAGACGTAGGCTGCTTCCTCGTTCACATTCGAGTTCGCAAACTAATAAAATACCGAAAAATTCAATAAAAGTTTAACTACATTTTGTGAAAGTAACCAGCAACAGAGCTAAATATAACATCTGCGTGAGTCATTGTGGCAAGCCATTTTATCATTTAATCAACAACACGTCCTTATAATTCCTATTTTACATAGCAACAATATCATAATCTTTGTCCAGATCATATACTAGTCCTAATTAAAAATAAAGATATAAACTGCAAATTGTTACTAATAGAAATACAATGCCTAAAATGTATTTGTTCATCAAGTATAAGTATTATTTGTTTTTCTAAATTAATGGGTCTGCAGATTTTCATAGTCCAAGTAGGTCTGCTCCATAGTGAAGCCAGAGAACACTGCTGGTCCAGCGACTAGTGGTCTCTATGTTAAGAGTCTGTTGCTCACGCACCGGTTACAGAAAAGAGCAGACCCTCTCAGAGCAGCAGCAACCTTGCTTATTAAAAGCATCAGGGTTATTTAATTCCCTGCCGGATACCAGGCCCTCGAGGCTCAGAATTGTATAGCCCTGGGCTAAATGATCGCTCTGTAGTTTTTAGACCTTATCAAAAACAACAAATTTACTTTATTCATCAAACTATCTTGATTGATCTTATATACCAAACGGTGCAATTTGTTTTTCAAGAAATTTCAAACACTTTCCATACCTTGAAAATGCATTTTTAATTATTTTAAGCGCCTGTACAAACCCTGGCCTAGGCTATGCAACCTACATAAAGGGAAAAGAAATTCATCTCATTTGTAAATATAGTTAAGAAGCAGCAGGTCTCACTCAAAGAAAAATGATTGCCTTGTCTGATGTTGTGACACTTCAAGTGGTTGAGGATGACCTCATCCCTTTATATTACTGTTGTCTTCAAACATACAGCAATAACCATTATCACATGGTGATAACTTACTTCTTGTCACGCAATGAAAAAGTGGAAAGTGAATAAAGTCGAAATCTCAAAGTCAACATAACTAATGATGTTTAAAATAAAGACAAATTTCAGAGAGTGTGGTAAGCAGTTTCATTATTAATTCATAATAAAACAGCAGACAAAAGTATAAATTATCTTAATTAGCCCGCCCTTTCAGGTGGCATAACAAACTACAAAAACCCAACACTGATCATTTAAGTCTCTGTGTGTAGTTTTGCTGTTCGCATTAACTCGACCATGTCTTGGTGATTCTCAGATGACTCAGGTGGTCCGTGATGTACTTGTGCTCAGGGAAATTTGAGAAGTTGGACTCCTTGATCTTCAACCAGTTTTGGGCTCTGCGCTCAGCGGCGTGGCAGTACTCTTGCTCGGGGGTCATGTACGGCCGGCTGATCCAGTATTCATTCTCTGCCTCACGCTCCAAATGCTTCAGCATGTTGCGTTTCATCTGCCACGTGATTGGCCGAAAACGCCGATACTTGCCGATCCACTGCTTCCCTGGAGTACCTTTCCGCAGAAGAGTGAGGGTGAGGAACATGGTGGCGAATAAGATCTGAAACTAGAGAAATTGTTCACATTTAATCAGTGACTTGTGGGAAATATTGAAACATAGAACTTTCAAACCAAAAACTGTGACATTTTTTTACTTAACTAAGAATAATTAATTTGTATAATAGGAGAGCAAAGGCTGAAAAGGCAACAACAAACATCCATTTACTACCAAACCAATTTTGCACAAATATTGTAACAATTAAAAACAAACTGCTGGACAAAATAAATTTGTATTTATGTTCTAAAACCTCCTTCAATGCCTGCAGGATTCATCTTAAATCAATGCTTTCAGGTTTTATTATGCAATTTGGTTTATAATGTTTTCTCTGCCCAGAGCTACACAGAACTACCAAACTACCAAGACTAACAATAGCTGTAAGTTTGTAAAAATCTATAGGAAAATGTTTTGTTTAGCCAAAAGCATCTTTTTGTAGCCTAGTGAAATAGACCAAATTCTTGCTTTGCAAAGCAGCCCCTAGCAGCATTCTGGCTGGCCAATCACAGCTCTCTATAGGGGGTTTCAAACACATAAAGAGCTGTGATTGGTCCATAATGGTGGGCCAATCATAGCGCTCTATCTATTAGTACATATCAAATTTTCTTACATCCCTAGATCTGAATATTTTCAATGTAAATAAATAAAAACAGCACAGGTTAAAAATAAACATTTAGGGTTAAACTGAATCCAAAGGAGTGTATAGAAGAGAAGACAGGTATATTTGATCCTGTTTGCGTGTGCCTATCACAAGTCGAGCTGCAGCATGGGCGCTCCATTGGAAAAAAGAATATTTTCACAACAGCATTTAAGTAAAATGTGCCATCAAAAATAACACCCATATTTCTGGAAATGTATTTTTGTTGCAATTTTCCAAAAAAAAATACCTGTAATCAGAGCTGTGGGACAAACAAATATGTAAAGCATTGACTCAGGTGTGTTGGAGCAAAAAAATTAATAAAAATTAAAATTAAAATAAAAAAATAAAGAAATGAAAGATAGTGGCTCTCAGGGACTAGTAATGGACACTAATGGGTTAGTTATATAAGTTGCACATAAAGATGCAGTTATGTAAAGCAAAACTTATGTATGTGTAATATTTGTAAGTAAATAAAGGAACAAGTATCTAAATGTAAATGTGTGAATGAAAAGCAGAATGGTTGTTTGTGATACTCTTCACCAAACAGCCACAGTAAAAATACTACATTCTCATAATGCAAAGTTTAAATAATGCTACAGGCATATTTCCCTTTTTCATCTATTCAGCCTCCCATCCACATACCACAGGGGCTCCCATATCTAGTCATGATGAATGTCGGAGGACATCTTATGAAAAGGTGAATACATTTAAGGACGTTCTCCCCAGAATGAACGTCAATTCTCAATGGTGCTGTTGTAAATTGAATTTTAGACGTAATTTATTAGCGTACATTAAAAATCACAGATAAGAGCTAGACTTCCGTCCTTATCAGTGATGACACAACGTTTTACTGCAGAGTGCGAACAGCCTTTATATCGGCAGACTTACTGTGGAAAAAGGACAGGAGATAAGATGATGTCCTACAACTCTATTAGTTTACGTTCTAAAAAATAACGCTAAACAAAGCTAGAGATGGAAGGCTTTTTGGGGGGGGCTAACACGAAGTACCTTTGCTAAAACTGCAGCAGGTTAGCTTGATGTTACAGATCAAGGACACCAAATTAATGATTATTATAAACACATTTTTAAAACAATGAAACTGTAAGCAACATTTACGATTTTAGCTCACCTTTTAAATGTATTTAATTCAGTCAAATGTGCGATGTAAAGATGAAAAGATGGCCAAAAGCCCAAACGGTGGAAATGTGACCACTTGCTAGCTAGCTAGCTGAGTAGTTCTAGTTGTACTTCCGGGAAATCTACGGTGCACGAGAAGGCTCAAAACCAAATCCCTGGACTCGCCGCCTTCAGGACTCCTCCCCTCAGCAAGAGGCTTTAAAACCACTTGTTTTCAAACCATTTTCTCATATGTTGTTGAGGAACTGTATTTTTTGGGGTAGTAGGAACAGTTTTGAAAATGTTTTCAGCAGCCACATGGACTCTTTTGGCTCTCTTCCTCACCCTGTTACTGCTGTGAGTATTCTGCGCGATCAGCTCTTCCGATCACAACCCATTTTTTTCCCTATATTTAACGCAAGCTGCTCCCTGAAACTTCAAGTTTGTATTTTTTCTTTTAAAACACAGATATGGAGTCTGGCCTTACAGGTTTTTCAAAAAACTCGGCATACGAGGACCAACACCTCTGCCTTTTATTGGAACAATGCTGAACGTGTTAAAGGTATGCCTAAAAAAGACGTTTCATTATGTAATAAATAAATAATTAAATATAACGTGGGCTTTTACTGATCTGGTGGTATCTTGGTTTTAGTTTACTCCCAGTTACACACCCACTGTTTTATATGATCTGCGATTTTCTGTAGGGATTGTTACCCTTTGACCGTGAGTGTCAGGCCAAGTATGGAGATGTCTGGGGGTGAGTCGTTTCATCATGTGGAAAGAAAACGTTTTTAGTGTAATCACTTGATGTACTTTCTTGTTATTGTAAAACATGGTGTGTTGTATTTTAATTCCCATCATAATGAAACTCATTGTGAACAAATTTGCTCACATTTTACTGAAAAATCACTTATTTTTAAAAAGTTTCATTTAGTAAGACCCAAATAAACTCTGTTGGAATTGATTAAAGTTTGAAGTTTATTCGTTGCACATGCGATGAAATTAGTTCATGATCGGTTGGCCTTTAATCTGATACTTTTAAACGTTTGTTTCTGTCTAGTTTGTTTGATGGACCAACGCCAGTAATGATGGTTACAGACCCTGAGATTATCAAAACTATCCTGGTAAAGGAGTGCTACACCGTGTTTACCAACCGCAGGGTAAGGGATTATAATTTATGAAATAAAAAATATATTCACCTATGTTGTTTTCTCAAACACACGTGTGTCAAGAAAACACAAGATATTTAAAAATTTATAGTAATGGAACACATTTAAAGTTGTAAATACCTACTTTTTAATGTAAGGTCTGACTGGTGTGTTAAAAAACAGGATATCCTGTAGAAAACATCAAGATCAGTTTTTAAGTGCCTAATAGTCAGGTGACTTTCAGCATAATTCTGGAATTTTTTTTACAGAGAGCCTCTTAGGCATTATGAAATATGACGACAGACACACTCAAAATCTGATGCAACCGTGAGACAACTGGTTTCATAAAAATAATAAAAAACAGGAAATGTGAGTCATGCCTTTCTTAGAAACCGGGAGCTTTGTAATGTAACCCTATTGAAAGAGCTCATCAGATAAATGATTAGATCTTTCCTGCTCTTTATTTGTAGACAAACAGCGTCATTCTTACTCAAATGTTTACATATGTGTCATTAAACTGTGTTTATTCACTAGAAATGACGGGAAAGCGAGTTAAATAGGTTTTCAGAGGTATATAGTTTTAATTTACCATGCCGTATTTATGAATGGAAATTTTTCATTCATATATCTAAAACATACATTCTTATAACAATGATTCCTATGATGAGTTCTGTGCATCTGTACATTTGAATGTAAATGTTATGTTGTTGGAACATACCGTTAGTACATAATCGGAACAGTTGCAGACCGTTTGTCTGGTTCCAGGATGTTTTTGGATCGGGTGGACCTTTGGATGATGCAATCACAGTCGTCAAAGATGAAAGGTGGAAACGAATTCGCAGCACGATTTCTCCGTGCTTCACCAGCGGGAGACTCAAACAGGTTAGCATCTCGTGTCTGAAGCATTCTGTACTTTGCCTTCCTTTAACAGTTACTTTGTCACTTTATGCCTTCAGTGAATAATAACACATTCTCAATGAAAGTTTCAGTCTTCTTCTCTTTAAGGTTTTTCCCTTCATCGCTCGCTATGCAGACCGACTTGTTGAAAAAGTCGAACAAATGAATTTGGAGGAGCCAATAGATGTCAAACAGTATGTTGTTAATTGTTAGTAATTAAGTTTAATTTAAAAACAATGTCACCGTGCTAGCCTGTGAGTGTTTGGTTTTTGTTTTCAGGTTTGTGGCACCATTCAGTTTGGACGTGGTGACCAGCGCTTCTTTCAGCGTGGAGATCGACTCCATCAACCATCCTGATGACCCAGTTAATGCTCACGTACAGAATATGATGAAATTCAGAGTTCTGCCATTTCTTCTCTTAAGTTGGTATTGTGCTCGATTGAGTTCATTTGGTGTCATTAGCTTAGGAATCAATTTAACTAACTGTGTCTCTTTTTTTAGTGATGTTTCCCTTCAGTCGGCATCTGCTGAAGCTCTTCAAATTTGAAGTTTTCCCGCGAGTTAGCCTGGACTTCTTCTACAACATCATCAAAAAATTTAAAGACCAACACAAAACGGAGGAATCGGTGAGTTCAGTTATGTTCTAAATGACCATACATACCGTTTCATTTATATAGCGCATTTAAACACAACATGTGAGCTGACCAAAGCGCTGCACAGGAAACAATCATAAAAGGATCATTTAAAAACAGTCAATAAATACAAATATGAACAGCCTAAAAGCTCGGACTGGGTGATATGCCCTCAAATCTATATTGCGATATAATCTGAAGCACGTGCGGTATCGATATATATTGAGTTATATTTTTTCCTCTGTTCATATATGTCAAAATGACATGCTTTTAATTATCCTCATGTGGCAAATATATGCCACTTGAGGCATATAGGCCTCCTCCTCCGCCCACTCCATGCTTGCAGTCACTGCCATTCTGTTGTCCCAATGTCAGCAGGGTACACATCTTAAGCTGTTTTTATAGGACCACCTCTCCAACCAAGACGGGATATAGGGAGGTCGCTGGTTGTCCATCCCCCCCACCCCCACCCCACCCCCCACCCCCGCATGTGACGCATTCAGCGTTAGCCTGAAGACAAGTCAGACTGATGAAATGTCTTTTTCCGGACCTTTAGCTTTGATGTGACCTGCTTTTTGTCCCGCTTGACGCCCCGCTCAGCCAGTGTTTTCACCACTCTGTCGAACAGCTGGCTGTCTCTCACCGTCTCCGTAAAAAGGCGACTAATCTGTTCGTCCGCTCGCACGGCCAAAAGCTCCATGGTCTTCGCGTCCGTCCAGCCGGCTTTCCTTCCGGCCGGCATCCGGCACGCAGTATATGTCACTAACGCGACCACCCTCTTTTATGGGGAGGGGGCCTCCCACAGTCCCTCCAAAGGGATTAGCGGGGCTGACACGCGTTTAGCCGTCAGAGGCGAGGGGCTGATACGTCAATATTACTAACAAGTGAGGCGGAACGAATGCCGCAATATTCGCGCAACGCCATGCCGGCATGGCGAGTTTATAGACATACCATTGCAGTAATATTACGCCGATATGCCGGCATGGTGTGTCCTATGAAAGCACCTTTAGTGACGTCATGTGTTATCGCGATATCGCGGTATTGCCAAAAACTCTATCATTACCCAATTTTATATCGTTTCTACCTTATATCGTTTATATTGCCCACTCCTACTCATGGGCTCGACACACGGGAGGCAACAAACGACCGCGATCAGCGAAATTTGTCGCTGTCGCTTTTATTACCTGACAAATGGGAGGCGACCTGTGGCAGCGGCCAGCGGCAAAGCTGTCTACGCGTTCTGTTCCATGGCGAAATTGAAACTTCCGTTGTTTTGTTTGGCTGTGTCAGGTTGGAGGGAATTAAGGTTATTTAAGCGGTTCAGAGTTAATAAAGTGGTAGATATGATGTTTCACAAGGTGCTGCTAGAGTTATGTGAAATCTTACTTCTGATTTTACTATAAAACATAATAATAATCAACTTCTCCTTCATGTTTGCTCGGAGATGTACGGAGCATCCTGTCCGCTCATTGGTCAGTGAATGAAACCTCCATTGATTGGTCCTCGTCCGAGCGACAGCGATGAAAAGTTGAAAATGTTTCAACTTTCTGGGATAGTCAAACATGGTGGTGGGAGGTGCTTTGCTGCTCCTGGACTTGGACCACTTGCTGCAACTGATAAAATCATGATTTCTGGTCTGTAAATCACGATTATCCTGAAGTCACCTTAGGCCAGCTGCTCATGCTGGAAAATCCTCCGACGTGGCTGAATTAAACATATTTAGCAAAGGAGAATTCTTTCATTGACGGCAGCTTTTACAGACAGTTATTAGGCACGTTATTTATTTTTTTAGATGATGGGGTTTTTGGAGTAAATCTTTTCAAAACTGTTCTGTATTTACTCAGGTTTTAGAAGTGTGTGTAAACCTTGAATGCTATCTGTGCCTCTTTAGACTCATGGAGACTTCCTGCAGGTGATGGTTCAGAATGAGATCCCAGAAAGTGACATAAAGAACAATCAGGAACAACCAACTAAAGGTGTGCGTTCGTCTCAACATTCCTTTCAGATCTTAGATCACACAACTGTTTTCATCTTTTTTGTGTCACCTTTTATTATTATTAGGGACATTATTAACAGGGTGTGCATGGTGCCACTGGCAGAAAAGAGCATCATTTGTTGATTCAAGCACCATTGTTTGGCGCTTTTACCCTGGTCGTTGTGGCGCTGCTGCTGCTGTACTTCCTAAAGGTTTAACATCAAGAACTGGAAAATCTGTCTTGTTCTTTCTGAGCAGAACTCCCAAACAAATATCCACCATTTAACCGTTATAACCTTTCTCTTTATTACGAGTTGTTTCGCGCGTTTTTCAAGAATGTTTCTCGATAAAAAAGGATTTATATCACGTTAAAATGAAATTACAAGATACTGATCCTTCATTTGTTTCCCCGCACTGTCAGTAATGCACTTCCATAAGCATAAACCCTAATGTGGAACTTTTACTTCTTGTAGGTTTGACTGAACATGAGATCCTCTCTCAAGCTGTGATGTTCATCTTTGCTGGCTACGAGACCACCAGCACCACCCTGAATTACATCTTTTATAATCTGGCCACAAACCCTGATGCAATGCAGACGCTGCAGGAAGAGATCGATGAAGCTCTTCAGAGAAATGTATCAAAGTTCTTTAAATATCCTATTTCTCCTAAATGTGAGAACATCTTGAGTCTTTTTTTATTTATTTACCGCACTTCTCTCGTTTTCTTCTGCATCTAGACCTGCTGGTCGTACAGCGAGCTGTGTAACCTGAAGTACCTGGACCAGGTTATTTGTGAGTCGTTGCGTTTGATTCCCACCGCACCTCGGCTCGAGAGGGTTTGCAAGAAGACGGTGCAGGTAAACGGGCTCACCATACCTGAGGGAACAATAGTTGGGATTCCGGTTTATCTTTTACACATGGACCCACGCTACTGGAGCGCTCCAGAGCTTTTCAAACCAGAGAGGTAAAGTTCAGGTGCTGTTGAGCCATGCACCTTTTTCTTCCTTTATCGTGACTACATGACTTAACTCTGATTGGTGCAGGTTCAGTAAAGAGCACGAGGAGGAGCTGAACCCGTACGCGTACATGCCATTCGGCCTCGGCCCTCGTAACTGCGTTGGGATGCGCTATGCCATCCTCGTCATCAAGATGATCCTTGTGCGTCTCCTGCAGAGTTACACTTTGGAAACATGCAAAGACACCGTGGTGAGACGAATACCTCGCTGAATTCAGACCGTTCCTGCTGCTGTCGCTGTCCATAACACATTCTTTTATCTGTTCTGCGTTCAGATCCCCCTGGAATTTGACTGGAAGTTTCAACCAACCAAACCTATAAAACTCAAATTTGTTCCCAGAAAATCCTAATCCAAGAGGGTCTAATCCAGTCGTAATCCACCTCTGGATTCTTATGAAGCATACATTTTGGATAATTTTGTGTTTAATGTAAGTTTTGTACCCCTTTCCTTACATCTTTTTTAATCACAAGTTTTATTTTTCTCATTTTCATGTTTTTTAATCATTTTTTTAATCTTTTTTATTTTTGTTCCTGTGAAGCGCCTCGTGGTTTTTATCTTGAGAGCCGTTATCTAAAAGATCATTTTCTTTCTTTCTCACCGCTGATTATGAAATAAATCAAACATGATCGATGTTGATTAATCAGATGTTGTTTATTTACTGTTTGTTTTGTTCCTAATAAGGTTTTTTGATTACCTAAATAAGAAAAATATTTCATATTTTCATTTCGTGAAGAGGGGTGTCTTTTGCTTTTACTTTCAAGTTCATCTCAAAGAGCTTGAAGTTATTTTTATCTGAACACATGTTTCTACAAACACGCTGCAATAAATCTGATTTTTTTTTACTTTTAGGTAAATTTACACATTTATATATTCAATTTTATTTTATTTACCCATTACTTTTAATGTAAAATGTACATTGTAAGGCTTTTATTGCAATGACTGTAACCCTTTTTTATTCTGGGTTTATACATAATAAACATACTGTTTATAATCACAAAGATAATGTCATTTATGTACTTAAATAAGTACTTACATTATCAAAGTTCCAGTACAGTTTGTCTTATTACTGAAATGTATGAGCTATTTGGGCACAGGCATTGGTGTGTGTGTGCGTGTGTGTGTGCATGTGTGTGTGTGTGTGTGTGTGTGTGTGTGTGTGTGTGTGTGTCGGGGGAGCATGGATGACTAAAAGAGATAAAAATAAAAACAGATCAAATAGTCAAGAATAATAGTTACAAGGAACATAGTGATGATGAGATTCATTTGAATCAAAACAAAATAAGAAGCAGAACAAATTGAAATACAAGAAAGAAAATGAAATGATGGATTTAACACTAAAGATAAATTATTAAAATATAAAACAGACTTGGGATAAAATCATCAAAAATGATAAAAGAATAAAGGTTATTCCTCACATAATTTTATTTTACATAATTTTATAGTCAAATTACACCCAGCAGAGGGCGCCAGAGTTACACCTGTGTTTTAGTACCGTTACAGTTTTTCTCCATTGGGTTGGCTCATTACTTGAAACAGAAATTGCATTCTCAAACCTCTAAGATCATTTGGCAAAACACTCTTACAGTTTAGCACAACACTATAGCTCACCTGCAAAAGCTCATATCACTTCTAAAACTGTTCACTTAGGCTTCAGTCTATGTCCCTTTCTCATTTACACAGTCAGTGTCTCCAAAATGGCAAAGATCTTTCTCAATAGCTTTGGCTCATTTCTCGACACAGATCGGACATTCTCATCATTCTTGGTGCTTTTGCCAAAATAAACCTGGATGGTTGATCACAACAACATGGTTCACCTGCAAAAGCTCATATCTCTCCTAAACCATTCACTCATGTGTCAAAACTAGATTTCTTTCTAATCTGAATGGTCAGTGCCCCCAAAACGCATCGTCCCTTTGGCATTGTGTGAGTACTGCCATACAAAATGTTTAGATGTTTTGTCACTATGGCAGAGGACCAACATTATACAACTGAAAAGAGTGGCCTCCAAGGTTTGACATCACAGATTGCACTCACACTACCAAGGAAATGATAACCATGTTTTATTCACACGCAAAGAAAGTTTCATACGTATGTAAAAACCACACATTCTCAGTCCTCCTCTTCTTATTTTTCATCCTCTTCCTTGAGGAAGAACTTCCCCTTGTCCGTTTGCTTGGCCTTGTCTATCCATGTTCAGAGATCTGACTGGCGCTGGTCAAGCTCTATAGATCTGTGTTTGGCAGCACACGATCATGGAAAACACCTGTGTGTGTGACACTCCCCGTTCGTTAGTCTAGTTTCACCTGACTGTCAGTGACTGTCATTAATGTATCAAATATTCAAAGAAATTCATATATGGTATTCATGATATTATGTTCTTGACCAATTCTGACAACTGAACAGACAGTTGTGCAGGCGAGTACTTATACAATGAAATCATGCTGACATGTTTTGGAGAGAATGATCATTAGACTGAGAATCAACTAATCAGTTTAGATCTACAAGATCTATTCATTTGGAAAATGTGCTAAATGTGGGCTAACTAACTGTAGACTACATTAATAATTTGCAAAGATGCACTGAGACACTTGAGACATGTACTAAGGCATTTGCCATTTGATAACATGAATGAGAAATGCCATTCTGTTGTGAACATTAGCCAAGAGGTTTGGAGGTTTGGCCATGTTATTTTGAGAATGTCATTTCTGCCTCTGCATAGCGAGGTCATCAAAATGCAGGAACTCAATGTGCTCTGTGCTTTCCCATGACCTCCCACCCACCTGTGGATACAGTTGGCTGAGCGCCACACGGGCTGCTCCCGCTGAGGAAACCAGATCCTAACCCCCCCCCCACCCCCCCACCCCCCACCCACCGGGTCTCATGTTGTGAACTGTGACATTCGTGCTTATATGTTGAGGTGTTTTTTTGCATAGTAGAGCTACTCCCTGCCTGGAGTAACTCTGGTTTGCCTTTTTTCCCCTCCCCCAACTCTCCTCATGTAATCCCCTCTTCATCTATTGAAATGAGCACCGTTATGGCTGCTCTCGTGGTCTGCCTGTATCTGTTCTGTCTATATGTGTGTGTGTAACCTTGGTCAGGCTGTTCTGTGGAGTCAAGTTCCTATGCTCTGGTTCGCTGGAGCGCTGGCAATAAAATTCTCTCTGATTCTGAATCTCTGAAGAAAGGAGCCAAACCAACAGAGAAAAACTGTAATAAAAAAGAAACAAATCACATCTGACAATAAATTAACACTGAATTTAAAAAATCCAACAAGATGGCGGAGTGGGTACATGCAACCCTGAGCTACGTCCATACTGCCCTTAACTAATTATAAGGCACACATAGTCAGAAATAATTTACAACTTCAACCCAGGTTGTTATTGTGGTATATAACTAAAGTAATCTTCATGAATCTTTATGGGTTTTATTCGGTTTGTTTGTTTTTCTTTATTTGTTATTTATCTAAAAAAAGGTCATTTTCATGCAGAAAATAACAGAAAACAAAGTGATCAAATATGAACGCCGACCCTCTTGGTAAAAGAAATCCCAAATTAAAAAATTATTAACAAGCTAAGATTTTTAATAAATGGAATTAATAGCTGGTCTCGGCCCTCGTAACTGCGTTGGGATGCGCTATGCCATCTTCGTCATCAAGATGATCCTTGTGTTGTGCGTCTCCTGCAGCGTTACACCTTGGAAACATGCAAAGACACACAGTGGTGAGACAAAATCCTCGCTGGATTCAGACCATTCCTGCTGCTGTCGCTGTCCATAACACATTCTTTTATCTGTTCTGTGTTCAGATCCCCTGGAATTTGACTGAAGTTTCAACCAAGTAAACCTATAAAAATTTACAAAGGGATTGTGTTTTTTTAAATACAAATTTAGATTGTCATGATTATATTCTTTATTTGGGGTTTATTCATAATGAAAAGAATAATATAAACTTTTTCTAAAATCAAAGAGGATGTTATTTGTCTCAGCAACATATACATTATTAAAATTGTTATATAACTTGGTGGCTGGGCTCTCCCGTAGAGATAGGGTGAGAAGCTTGGTCATCCAGGCTCGGAGTAAACCCGCTGCTGCTCCGCATCGAGAGGAGCCAGTTGAGGTGGCTCGGGTATCTGATTAGGATGCCTCCCTGTTGAGGTTTTGTCCAACCGGGAGACCTAAAGGGACACCACAACACGTTGGAGGGACTATGTCTCTCGCCTGCCAGGGAACACCTTGGGATTCCCCGGAAGAGCTGACCCAAGTGGCTGGGGAGAGGGAAATCTGATTCTGGGCCTCCCAACTTCAGCTGCTGCCCCCATGACCCGAGTCCGGATAAATGGATGAGGATGGATGTTATAGCAGAAGTGTTTTATTCGAGACAAACACACTAGAAAAACGATCGAACAAACCTTTTAAACACAAAATTGGAGTACTCAAGTGTTTTTCTATTCTTTTAATAAACCAACAGAATACAGTTGTTTGGTTGCTGAACTCAGTGTTTCTGAGGGTCTAAATCAGGGGTGTCAAACTCATTTTAGCTCAGGGGCCACATTGAGGGAAATCTAGTCCCAAGTGGGCCGGACCAGTAAATTAAAAAAAACTTCAGATTGTTTTCTTTGTTTTAATACAATCAATATAAAACAAGGCTGGAGCCTGAGGACAGTGTAGTACAAGTACAACACCTGAAGTGTACTTGAAAATTTGAAAAAAAAAATCAACAAATAAAAAAAACATTCCTTAGTGATTCAAAGAGCTTACAGATCACATGACTAGATCAGTTTCATGCAGCACTTAAAGTATATTTGACTCATTTTACTTTACATCTTTTAGCTTTCACCAGCACATCAATATCAGAAGTCACATCCTGAGTGGCGGCCAACTTCAGGATGGGATTCAAGTTCTTGTGTGAGCCTTGAGTGCAGCTTTGTTTTATTTATACTCATTACAGAGAAAACTTGCTCACAAAGATACGTTTATTTTCACTCTACATTGTAAAGTATGAAAATAAAGTTTACACAACCATCTCGCGGGCCGGATTTAACCTGCTTGCGGGCCGGATCCGGCGCTCGGGCCGCATATTTGACACCCCTGGTCTAAATGAACTGAGGTTTCCTGATGTGCACTTAAAATGTATGAAAATGTCATAAGATTTATACTTTATAATATTTACAACTAAAATATTAAACAATAAGGCAAAAGGTAAATTAACAGGATCAATAAAATTAATATTCATGAAGATGAAACTCTCTTTGGTCCTGGAAATATTCTAAATGGGATTTTAAATAAGTTAAAGAAAAACAATCCGATTTTAAATTTTAGCTTTTGGATTAGAAAAAAAAAGTTGGAAAAGCTGTCGGAAAACCTCAGTAACAGTACAATTCACGCCCAGTAGAGGGTGCGAGTGTGGTACATAAAAACAAACCGAAAAGGGTTTTGACATTAAATCCTCACTCAAGTCTGGTGCTGGTTTCATGAGACATGCCTCCGGAACACTGATTCTGTTTAAAACACAAAAGTAACACAAATAATAAATGCCTGTGTTAAATAAATGTTACTAAAATATGAACTTTAATGAAACGAAGGTGGATTGATGGATCTATTTATCAAACAAATCAAATGGTATAAAGTATTTATGAAGAAGATGCATGCGAGGGAAATCTGACCCAAGAACATTCAAAGTCATTCTCACACATTAGAAAAATGAAAAGAAAATAGACAAGATTTTTTTTTAAAGTACAAAACAGCATTAGTAGCTACTGCATCGAAAAGAGCAACGGCACAAATGCAAAATGTGGGGAAAAAGTTGAAAATGATTCACTCACAAGTCCTGAGTTTATCAAATTTAATCAAAATGGACCAAACGTGATTCTTAATAGTGTAGAAACACGACGAGATTTCATATAAAAACATTTTAAACCCATCAGCAGCTCTTGGTTTTAAAGGGAACCCGTTCTGCAACGTGTGGAGCTTCCGATGAGTTTGGGGAAAAAAGTCAGATTGGACTTATAAGAAAAGATTCATCTGAATAAACAACACCTTCAAGTCATTCTTCCAACATAAAATCAATCACAACTATAGAAAATAATCCTTAAAACGGTTTTGATGCTCCCTAAACGTGTGTGTCCTAACAGGGAAAATGTGCTGATTTCAGGTCAGTTAAAGAGGAGCTTTTCATTTAGGTTTGCATTATAAAAACTAAAACTAGTCTTTTACAGGTTGTGTAAGAAAGTACCTGGCTCAAAGGCACCATGGCAGCTGCTACTGATGTATATAGTCTCTTCTCAAATCCACTGCCTGCTAAACAACCTCACTCAGAGGGTTCAGAGATCTGTTTTCCTGCTGTGGGTTTGATCCCCAGATCAGTGGACGCTGGTCCTGGATCAGCCTGATTGTAGTTCTGGTCTAATCTGATCACACTTTCTGATGAAACTGTCAAAACTGAATTACTGATTCAGAAAGTCAAGGGAACTTTCGGGATAAGGGACGTCGTGCTTTCAGAAGCCTCCAGGTGTTGTCGAGGCACGCCGAGTTCTCCCAGTAAATATTTGCATTCCCTTATTTTAACAAACACCTGTCTGATGAAACTTTGATTGTTCACTGGTAAAAGTGAAAATGAATGGTCTCTGTAATTATAAAGCTTTTAGCATCAAACCAATCAGATACATGTTTTATTCTAATAGGGTGAGAAGCTGACACCACTTTAAGAGTGGATGAAATCTGCTTGTGGCAGGTCGACTAAACAAGACACGTGAAAACTTATTTAAAGATCTTAGAAAATAAACTTTTCTGCTTTTTATTCCCAAGGAACAACTCTGACAGCTCTGAACCTCTGCTGACATTTGTCTGACGTTTCCACTCAGACCGAGTAGCAGTCCAGATCCTGACTCTGCGGTCTGACGGGGCTTGAGACCGTAGCTGAATGAATCCGCTGCTGCAGATTCTCCTGTGTGCGACCGTCTCTTTAACCACAAGTTAAGTTCCAGGTTGTCCTGGCTGGCTCTACCTGCGTGGTTGTGGGCGATTATGTCTAGGCAAAGAGGAGGAGGGGCTGGAGGAGGAAGACGGCGAGCAGGGTGACACGGAGGCCATGGAGGCTGTGGCTGCAGCATCCTCCGCCTCCTCCAGCTCTGAGCCTGCTCCGTGGAGCTCCTGGCTCACACTGGACTGTAAGGCAGCCGGGGTCAGCCACTCTTTGGGCAGGCAGCTCTGGAGGAATGGCACACAGGAGCTGAAGTAGGCCAGGCGGTTGACCCAACGGGGGATCTCCCTGCCACACAGGATCTAGGAAGACAAAAAGATGTAAAACAATGAAATACCTTAATATGTTGAACTCTGTTAATGCACTTGTTTTTAAAGTAAATCTACTGTGGTCTAGGATAAATAGATCAGTGTTTCCCTGACATAGGCGTAGCCGTGGCGGCCCGCCACGGCTGAAATCCCACCGCCACGCCTACAAGATCCCAAGTTTTATTGATTTTTTTTTTTTGCGCCGTTTCCCGAAGAAGCAGCGGGAACTACTGTGTTGTTGCTTGTGATCACAGCCGGCAGGCAGCAAGGAGGAGGAGGCAGGGCAGGGTGGTTACAGCTAGGGATGAACCGGATACTCATTTCAGACTAGTATCTGGTACGGATAAAGCATTTTTGACGAATACGAGCATGAAACGAGTAAAACTCATAAATATCTGTAGTCGTGCTGAAGGAAAATCCTTCACGCTCTGTGATTGGCCAGTCACATGGAGGGCCCGCCCCACCCTCCACACAAAACTCTGCAGCCGGGACGGGAGCTCAGTCCGCTCGGCCCAAGCATCCACACACACACAGACAGTAACGGATCTCTGTGCTTGCTTCACTGTAGCCCACGTTTCTTCAGTACTCCCTAGGTTTTCTTCAGCTCGCCTCTTTTTCAGTTCAATATTTAAAGTTACTTTTTTCGTAACGTACGTGGTGCATTTGACAAGACAGAGCTGAAAACGGCTCGTGCTGCGTCGGTCACTGCCTCCGCTCCGGTCGGGGTTTTTAAAATTATTTTAACTCTCTCTCTCTCTTTCTCACACACACACACACACACACACACACACACACACACACACACACACACACACACACACACACACACACACACACACACACACACACACACACACACACACACACACACACACTAATCAACATTGTTTTGTTTAACTGTGTGTGGGAAAAATGCCAACAACATTAGAAAAAAATCAGTTTAATCAAATAAAAAAAAAGTTGTGTCTGCTTCTGGTATTTCATATTTCCTAGTTCCTCCTGCATGAGTTCAGATGTATTAATTGATGCACTTAAATTTGAATGTTCTGATTTTACTGAAACACTTGTTCTGTAATAGTTTCTTTACTATTATGATCAAAAATATTTAATCTCAATTCTGAGGCTGCTCTGTAAATAGCTTTCAAATAAACAATACACATATCAACTTCTGATCAATCCATATCAATTTCAGATATAAAATAATGTACTGATGTAAACCACACTAATTTCCAAATAATAAATAAGAGGTGCATTCATCTGTGTTTCTCCTTTGATCTGCATTAGTGATATTTTCAGCACCAGAACAATGAAGCAAAGAAACAGATTCCTGCGTTTGTTAGTAATTTTATTTATTAGGTGCATCTGACCTGTTCTATTTTTCTCTGAAATGAGATCAAATCAGTGCTTCTATGTGTTGGCTCCTCTCAGCACTAGAAAAATGTACTTTATTATAATGTTCACTGTAATGCATCTTGATGTTCTTAACAAATAAATTAAATCAAAGATATTGGTCAATAATGCCACATATGTAAATTTGTGTTTCAGTCATTTTTATACTGGCTTAAAAATAAAGTGGGCAGAAAGTCAAATAAAGGGGGGCAGAAGGAGATGTTTTTCAAGACGCCAAGAAAAATTAAATGCCAAATACCCCCCAGTGCGCTTTAACATGCTGGTGATGATCATTTTAATGATATAGATGAGTCATCGTCCACCTTCCAGAGCTAGCTGGTTAAAATTCTGTAATGCATGCTGTCCATTTTGACATTAAATCATGAACCGCTTTGCACAAAAAGCAGGACAAATCAATGCAAAGGTATTTATTCCAAAGGTAAAATGAGCATTTTTAGACTTCAGACTGTGACTTGGCTCGGCTGTACCAATCTGCTTTTAGGTCTGATTGTGTGTTTTGTTTTCTTCTTATTTACGGCATATTCCCCTAAAAGAAAAATGCCCATCAGCACAATCAGCCTCCCTGTCTGAGGTTTAAATTATTATCACGCTAGAACAGCACTATGAGACAAGCGGCTTCCAGGAAACCCAAAGGATTTTCCTTGTCAACGGCCGTAATTGTGCTTTTATCTGGACACTTACTGAAGCTGCTGAGAGGTGGAATTTTAAGATGCATGTGCATTAAGAGTCGAGCTTTGCGTTTCATGAATGGCAAAGATGTTAGTGTTGTTTGGTTGCACCAACTAAAATATTCACCTTTTCTAATATATTGAATTTTTGGTAATATTTCTTTAGTCCATCCTTGATGCACTGCACATTACATTCTGTGAGCAAACAGAGATTTATTAACACGCCCAGGGTGTCACTTCTGGTTAGTTACTCATGATAAGAATGTCAGTCTTGCTGGCTAGCTTATTCCGTCTTGAGCTGAGCAGACAGCGGTTAGGATGTGAGCGGGAAGTACGAGCGTCGTAAAAGTAAGGCGTGTAAAACTGAAGGAACAGCATCAAACATGCTCGTTTTTTTTTTTCATTTAAAATGTCCTTTGTGCTTTCCTGTAACTGATCAGCGTAAGAGCACAGATGTGTGCTGATAACAGAATTGTGTTAACAGCGAGCTGCTTTGCTTGTGAAAAAGATGACAGACATCAAACGTTCTGCCCGCAGGAGTAAATATTCATACTAGTGATGTGTCGGTCGCGAACGAACCGGCTCTAAGAGCCGGCTCTTTGAAGTGAACGACGGGAGCCGGCTCGTCATTGGGAGCCGTCCCCTCCCCTCCCCCCCTGCCTTGGCGAAAGCTACAGGCGATTGGTCAACATGTGTAACTGTGTGTCCAGACTGTCCACACACAGAGCAGTAGGGGCAGGGAAGAGGGAGGATCAGACTCAGACACACAGCAGAGCACATGCGGGTGGAGGGAGACGAGAGGGAATGAGGAGGAGGAAAAAGGCGAGAGAGAGGAGAGTGCGACGAAGACGGTGAGAAAATGAGCGCCAGCAGTAGGGAAGTGGAGATTTCTTAGTGTTCAGTTATTAAATCCATAGAAATGATAAATATTTGATATATTGCTTTTTTTACATTAGTAAATCATTTTACACATAGTTTAGCATTATTTTGGTTATAAATGTACTCTACGCAACAGAAAATCTGAGGAGCCACTTGGGAGCCAAAAGAGCCGGCTCTTTTTGGTGAGCTGAGCCAAAAGAACCAGCTCTCTAAAAAGAGCCGGAATTCCCATCACTAATTCATACAAGCATCTTTGTGTTCATCTGTTTTCCACTCGCCTCTTTCTGCGAGCTATCTGCCGGGTCATCAGGTTACGGTAACAGCAACAAAGCCTCTCTGTGACGAGTGTTTCACACAGGGTATCTGCAGGTTTAAGGGAGCCAAATTTAAGACATTTTAAGACCTTTTTTTAAGTCCACTTTGACCAAATTTAAGCTATTTTTTAAATTTCACTTAAGCTATAATTTCCAGCTATTGCATGAAACCGGTGCTAACCATGTCACCAACGTGGGATTAGCCATCCAGTTATCATTAAACTTGCACTTCCCCATGGTGCAAGCTCCCGCTAGCTTAAACAGCTAATGTGCTCATCTAAAAATAGCCCCCTTTCATAACCAACTGAATGTGTACAGTTCCGCTTACACAAATATGATACACATAAAATGCTGAACACTAACTAGAAATTCACGAAACTTTCATAGAAATAAAAATATCTTGTTTGTTGGGTCTTTAATTTAAGACCTTTGGAAACTGTATTTAAGGATTATTTGTCACTTTTAAGGATTTTTAAGGCCTTAAATTTGGAAAAGCAAATTTAAGACTTTTTAAGGACCCGCGGATACCCTGTTCACAGTAACTCTTTGTTTGAACAAACATTTAAAACTTTCCTCATGATTCCTATCTTGTACAGTTTTGAGGATTTCTCTGTGTGTTCATTTCAGAGCATATGTGCTGTGTCAGTGTAAGTTTGTGTGTGGGTTTGCCAGCTGGCTCGGCGCGTCTGGGCTTGTATCAATGTCCTAATCCACCATCTGAGCACTAGATGCTAGCTGTAAGACTCCCTGCTCATTAGTCACTGTAGCATAAGCTGATAGGAGCCACACACACACACACACACACACACACACACACACACACACACACACACACACACACACACACACACACACACACACACACACACACACACACACACACACACACACACACACACACACACACACAGAGTGATGTAAACGAGGGTTGCTGCATGTAAAATATTTGTCCTTCATGTTAGGAAAATAAAGGTAGGTTGCTGCAGTAGTGGACAAAGCTTTTCTACATGTTTATAATAACTGATCAGTTAGTTTGATGTGCAACTCTGCTGAAGCGGAGTATTTTTTTATCAGCTTTAGAAATGTGCCTTTTTCACCTAAAAATAAAAAACCCTGGAGCAACACAGAGTGTGCAAAAATGTACCTTTTTCACCATTACGTGACTAATAATCTTCTTTCATCTAATCAAATAAAATCAAACATTATTGTACCTTTGGAGAAATTTGTTATAATTTACTGCTTTGCTAATGCTACACACAACACAACGTAAATCAGGGAATCAGCATCGTGTCAATCCCATGAGAACACAATTTAAAAAAGAGATTCATCGTTATTTTGTATCATTTAATAGCATAATAGAAATTGGGTGTGAATGAACAAGGAACAGGGTGAGTGTTGGGCAAAGTGAGTATCAGGCGGGTTGTGGAAAGGGGGTTTATGGGTCTATCTGACATTCATTCATAGTCTGAATATTCCCAGCACATCTTCCAATATGACTGGTGCTCCAACATTCCTTTTTGTTTTCTTCTTGTCTAAAAAGGATGCTAGCATTAGCTTGAGCTAGCGTTAGCAGTAGCTCAGGCTAGCAACAGCAGTAGTTTGGCCTAGCATTGTTCTGCAGTTAGCTCTACTGCAACTATTGTTAATATATTGCTGACGTAGAAGTAGTTTAGGACCCGAGGGTCTAACACCATTTATTTTGTTTTTCTAGAGCTTAGCCTGCCCCAGAGCGGCCGTCAACTGTGGCAGCGGTCTCCCAAGGGTCAACCTTAGGCTTTGGTTGGCACTAAATGCACTATGAATTGTTACTGTGTGCTTTTCAGCAAAAAATGTTGCTATTATATATCATGTTGTTGGCAAATTATATATAATAGCGAATAGTGATAATAAAAAAAATATTGTTATTCTAAAGGTAACGACCAAATAATTTTTATCACACCAATGAACAGAATTATTGATTTTATTAAAAACAAACTCCAAGATCCGTGAGCCATTCCAGAACAACATTTTCTCAGTAGTGACAACTGAACTGCGTTGAGTGACATTTTTCGAGAGCCGCTATGAACAGCTTCTACAAAATATTAATGTCATCAGTGGAGTGTCTAATCTGGTTTTACTTTGACAGAACGTTATGTCTGTTATGGGTAATGGTTCAGTTATTGTTACAGTCAAGTCAAGGCAACGCAAAGTCCTTATGAGGACCGCCATGTAGAGGGCTGCATCGGGATTGGGTCCCGCGGGACCCAACACAAATCTTGTGGGGGCGGGCGGTGTGAACTTTGCTGCGGGCGGGAACGGTCGGCTAAAAGTAACAGTGCAGGATCGGGATGAGTATGATGGAGTCGGCAACTGATGTTGAAAAGAAGCTGAAACAAGGTCTTTATGGCACAAAAACCAAAGAAAGGCAAGTCAGACATTTGGAGGAGTTTCTCCGATTGTGTTAATATTTCTCATTCAGGTCTCTCTTAGAATAGCGACCCCGATCACTGCCTGATTAGAGAGGAGAATAGAATATGAAACGGCCTTGACGTCATTAACCCTTTAAGCACCACACAGTAGCTCCTTTATTTTTTTTTAAAGAATTTTATAGTTTAAGTAGCGAGGAGTTATTTGAAATCAAATGCGCCAGGTGTCACCGGTGATGGTGACGCATCGGCATTAAAGGGTTAAAAACTAAATGAAAACAAAGTGCGTCAAACCTGACCAATGTGTTAAAAGATGTGCAGGATCCGATCAATTTGTTTTTCCCTCATTTACAGTCACTGAGATAACGGCGCAGTGCGCCTGGCTCTGGTGGTAATCAAGTTCAATTTTATCTCTTTCCAACAATTTTCACAAGAAAACAAAACAGTTAAAAGCAGGGCTTGTGTTGACCGGATAGTTCCCGTATTAGACCGTTTATTTTGACGGAGAAAGAATAGAAAGAATTACCCCGACGCATGCAGACGAACTGACGCAGATGTAGCTAAATCGCCCAAGAAAAGATTCCCATCTGAACATCTGAGCTGGACACTGAGCTCAGCGCAGATCACTGTCAGCACGTATAGGTGCACAGCAAGCTGAAGATGTGGAGAGGGGCTTGGAGCACGTCGCAGAACCAGAGCGCATGGAAGATTCCTCCCACTGAAGCAAATGTTTTCCAAACCCGGTCTCTCAGAGAGACTTGTCACTTAGAAAAATTTCCCTGATTATTAAACTTTGGCTGAATAGCGCTTGCTCCTGTCTCCAATGTGGTGACGCATCCCTGAGCCTGTCTGAGGAGAGTCCCAAAATCTCACATCCTCTTCAACTCAGGAAGCGCCGATATGATTACGCACAAGCGTGACCCGTCATCCCGGTCTTAAGACCGGATTGGATCTGTTCAGGTTTACGCAGACAATCTTTACATTTAGAATCAACACAGATATAAAATTAAGTCAGTAAAATATAAAGCATTTTATTTAAATATCCATTCATTATTTTACAAGCACAGAGAGCCGCATCAGATGGATGGAAGAGCCGAGGGTTGCCGATCCCATAGACTATAAAATGACATGTTGAGGACACAAACTCAATACATCTCTTTCATTGTGAGGTAATAATTTCTCCGAGTTTTGCGGTTGCGGGCGGGAGTGTAACACACACGTTGCGGGTGCGGGCGGTAATGGTCAGAAATTCAGCGGGAGCGGGCAGGAGCGGGATGAAGAAAACAGTCCCGCGCAGGGCTCTACCGCCATGCTAGTTCATGTCGTCATATCTACCTCTGATAGTGCTGAGGAGAAGTGGTTGCAGTTCTTGTGCATGAGGTGGTAGGCGTTGCCCTTGTACTCCTTCCCCATCTCTTCTACGATTCGCTCCGCATCCTCTTCTGTGAAGTCCGTGCTGCCCAACACTATGGCTTCCCTACGCAAACAAACAGGAAATGTGCTTTACTCACAGAAAACTCACTTTTAAAACACCTTTAAAAAGATTCTGCTTTTAACTGGCAGCTATATCAAAATGGAATTTTCTGGAGTGATAAATATGATTTTTATTTTATATGATTGAATATGTTATTCAATCAATATATTAAAGGCACACTTGGCAGTTTTGCTTGCTTTTAGCACCCCCTTGTGTCCGTTATTAATTATCTGTGGTCAAAGCAAAAAATGAAACTTGTCTCCTCGCTGTTCGTTTGTCTTTTTAACACCTGACAGCTGAAATGTCTCCTCAGCCTTCCTTGGTTTCTACAGGGGTGATTCATCACTAAATTAAACAAATCAGCTGTGTCCATGACGTAAAACATGCAGGAAACGTGCTGGAGGCAGACTGCAGTGCCAGATACATTAGCTCCGTTTGTTTGTAAGTCCAACTGACCAGACTGGTACTCTGAAGTTGCACACGTGGTAATCTGGCCACAGAGGGCTGTAGGGGTATGAGTGACATTTCATTAATCTTATAAATGGTCATTTAAAAATATGAAAAAGTTGCATTATGTGCCTTTAATATTCAGTTATAAAAGGAGGTTTTTTTGTACAATTAAAATCCCTTCAACACGTTTCTGTAAACATTGAATAATGTTATGTAAATTAGAGGATCTCCAAAAAGATATTTAGCCTTTTTTTTTTTTTTTGCATTCTTTGTCAATTTTACAAGACGTCAAAGAACAAAACTAAAACAAAATGAATGCAGTCTGATAGAGCGGATACATTTGGCTTGTTCTAGTCGCTGAAATTCTGAGTATTGTCCAGGATGCTCCGTGCTCATCGCCTACCAGCCTCCATGGGGACGACTAGTGTGTGTTTATCTGATAAGCTGAGTGTCTCTAAAGCTGCAGGGCAGATCAACTAGAGCAGAAGTAATACGCAGCAGCACGACAGCCCTGGATACACTGAGGCTCTGCAAACAGACGGCATTGAACTTATGTTTCCCTGAATGCAACCTAATTCTATTAAAAGTTGATCAAACACAGCTATGTGCTGTATTAGAGCGAAAACAAAATGCACTCATTTTTGGTTTTGTGAGACATGCCTGAACAACGGACTCGTTAGTTTGCTTCCTGGTTGCATAATGACGATTGGCCTTCAGTTAGCTGTCTGACAACCAAGAACACGTGGTAATCACAGTGTGGTCTAGGGCAGAAAACCACATGAATGTTTCTGAAATATGCTTCTCCCTCTCATAAAATTCTGGTACTTACTTAAACTTGAACGTCTCACCAAGTTCAGTTGCGTCCCCTGGTGAAATCTCAAAGATCCCTGAGAATGGATACGGGTGTCCTCCATAAGCAAACTCTACACACACACAAAAACCCATAAGTAAACGTTTATTAATGCTGAAAATAAAAATCGCCTCATTTAGAAGGAAACATGGTGGCACTTGTATTCTGAGCTCTAAAAGGGATCCTCTCTGAAACATCATCCTCAGGGAGATGCCATGATGAACGTGGTGTCATATGTCTGAGCAACCTTACCTCTTCCATAAACCTCGATCCCTGAGTGGAAGACTCCGATGCCGAGAGAGCTGGTGAACTCATTGATCCAGTACTGGAGGTAGAAAATGAAAAGATTCAGAGAATTCCAGATTCTTTACATGGAAAGTGCTCCAGACGTTTTGCTGCATGGCCAGAATTTCCAACACTTTACTTTATCAACCACAGTCAATAAGGGGCCATGACCACTGCATGCATCAACAAGAGTCTGCAGCCAACACAGGTAACACGACCCCAGTTAGAACTAATCTCCCAGAATGTTTTCTCTCCGATTTATCAGAGAAAACATGTTAGACACATCACCTGTCTGCCCGTCAGCCAGGCAGACAGGTGGCGTGAGGATAATGCTCCCTCATTAGACAGTGGACTAAAGCACTCAGAGCTGGCCGGGAAATCCACTTAACTGAGACGGGAGCGGGATGGCAGGGGAAAATGTGAATGGACTGGAGTTGTGGGGAAAGAAAAAGTGGGTGAGAGCCTGCAAATACACCCCCTGACCATCAATCCACAAATGAAAAATGAGCTTTCTGTTAGTAAGTACAGGGAAGTGATGGCAAACCATCATCTACGCTCTTAACCCGAGACGTTATCGGATAAAACTCGCAGTAAGTCAACAATCAGCCGGCTGTAAATACAACAACACACGTTTCAGACTGCATGATCGTCCAACGATGAAACACTGTCCTGATCTTGAAACCTGACACGAGTCACATTCAAGGGACTTGTGACTTGAGGAACACACTGATAACTTGCACTTGGCGTCAAACATTTGCAAATATGACCTTCTGCTGTTAGACATATTCAACATGCACAGAGAGTCCACATATGCGGCGCGTTGTGGAGTTTGCTCTTACACATTTTTCCTCCAAGTCAGAAAGTGAAGAGGAAAAAGTTTATTTATTCACAGACACGAAAAAAAGGCTGCGCCAGATGTACAATACGACTGTCCCTACGTTAGCTAACATGTTTGCATGTGGCAAAATAACAAAACATACTTAAAAACACATTTGAAAACAATAAATAAGTGTTGTTTTTAAACTGTAAATGGCCTGGATTTATATAGCACCTTCTAGATTTCTACAACCCCCCAAGATGCCTTACAACACACCAGTCATTCACCCATACAGACACATCCACATGCTGGTGATGAAGAGCAACAATGTAGGCACAGCTGCTCTGGGGTGCACTGACAGAGGCGAGGCTGCAGTACAACGACGCCACCGGTCCCTCCGACCACCACCAGCAGGACACGACTGTGACAGACTACGGCAGGCATGAACTTAACTTCTCTGCCACTGCTGTCCTTTAAATTTTTCTAGTAAGACTAGCATCAGCTACATGCTATATCCAAGACTAGCAATTACACTTACTTTTCTGGGTGCAAATGTAACAAGTGCCAGTTGAAATCTGACATTGGACCAAACTGGAAGATTCTTTGTGACTTAGACTGGGCCTGTAGAACCTAATGACTAAAGAAGTGGTCACGCCCCTCTAAGAGTCTTGCTCCACCCACATTTCAAATTTGAATAATGTAGCACAAAGAGAAGTTTCCTGAAGGACTGAGCTATGACCATGAGTGACATTCACAAACTTGATGCCAGGTGGCGATGGAGAGCGACACTAGCTCGTTTGAGCCTGAGCAGTCATTCGAAGTGGAGGACTTTTCTCCCCCTCGTTCCCCAGAGGATAGGAAGGAAGGCTTTTTGGGGGGGAAGCAAGCGGTCCTGAGCCGTATTTTTTGAGCCACTAGCTTGTGAGCCTCCTGGACCTGAGCTGGCTGGAGCATCACAGCATTGAATGGGTCCAGTCTCTCAGTGGTAAATAGCTGTTAGGCATAGCTAAAGCTCTATTTAACTTAGCTAAAAGTATTTTTAGAAATAGTCAGTTTTGGCTTTCTTTCAGCACCCCCTAGCGTCTGTTTGTAGAACCGAAAGCAAAACCTAATGTCTCGCTGTGTGTTCGTCTTTTTAACACCTTAATCTAACACCTGAAATGTCTCCCCAGCGTGTCTACAGGAGTGATTAATCACTAAATTAAAAAAATCAGCTGTGTTCATGATCTAAAACATGTAAGAAACATAATGGAAGCAGACTGCAGCGCCAGGTATGCCAGTTTGATTTTTTTCTAAGTTCCAACTGAGCGACCCGCCAGGCTGAAGTTGCAAGTAGAGAATTTTCTGGCCACAGGGGGCGATAGGGTTTGGGTGGCCTTTCATTAACCCTGTGAAGCGTAGTTTTAGCACATACTGGTTCGAGAAAATGATTTTAGAAATATGAAAAAGTTGCAGAGTATCTCTTTAATTTGAACTCAACTTGGACCAATCTTGTGTGAATTGTACTTGCCCTTAGCGTCGAACACTAAGACCTTGAAAGTCACTTGGACTTGAGAGATGGTGATTTGACTACAACATTACCACTATCACAGCTTTTATTTACCAATAAGCCCTACGGATAAACATTTTGGGACGTGGATGTCTGATGTTTCCCAGTAAGATAAGAGCTCCCCAAATTGACTCTCAGAAACAAATAAAAAGGTTTTACACATTTTAAGCCAAACAAATTCATACATTTTGATTTTAACCTATAAGAACACTGTTTAAACTGCCAACACCACAGAACAGCGAAGTGAAAACTCAGTAATTGTGACAAAAAGGAAGAGCAGAGCGAAACACGGGGCTTTGCTACTTTGAATGTGAGATCTAAATTAGACAAGAATACAAAAGACATTTGCCTTGACTGGTGATGTGCTGTAGTTTTACACATTCAAATGGGTTCACCGACACCCCAGTTACACCGTAAGAAATTTGTACCATGAGTAAATACTTTATGGCTTCTAGTGTACCAGTCCAGGTGCATTTAAAAGAGGAAAAAGGTCGTCTTGAAGCTGCTAGTGGAGAAAGTCATTCTGGAGCTGGGTTTTGTTTCAACCATTGAAATGTAAATCCCTTGATTATTGTTCAGATACCTCATGTTAAACATGTTACGTATCAGTTTGGAATGTTTATTGAATTTTCCAACAATAAATTCAGTTTATAAAAAAAAAATCGCTAATATTGTCTGGCTGAATGCAATATGTTGTGATACACCGCTGTAGCTCATATGTAAACAATGCCTCGCAATAAGAAACCATCAGTCAAACCAAAGGCACAGATAAATCAATAAAACAAAATCAATATGTTTTTAGAAATAAAAAATATCAACCAACAACATACAAGTCTAATATTTTCTGTTTTAATGCATTAATGTTCAAGGTAATAAGACCTCTATTTGTCAGTTGTCTGCCAAAAAATGCATTTTGTTTAAGGAGAGAAGAAAATATATATCTGTTGGACTTTATTCTATAAATGAAATAATAGTAATAGCAGGGAAGCTAACATCAGGCTTGTACAATAGCTTAATTCCTTAAATAACATCAAATAATCCCTCAAAGAAGATGCACACATGCCTTACAGCTTCAGCAAGCCTTTACGTGCTAAAATGAGTTTCCTGCAGTCAGTCATAATAATAAAATCCAGATTGAGATAACAGCTCTGCAGACTTTTAGCGATGACACCATTGTGGCCAGCCAGTCAAGTGAAAAACAAGAGGAAGCGAATGGGGGTGGGGGCAACACAAGAGGGTGAGACAGGAAAGAAGAGGAGATGATGATGAAATTAATGAATGAGGAGAGAGAATGAAAAGTGAATGTGAAATCATTTTGCATTTATAAAACACAATCTATGACAGTTTTAAATAAAATACCAGCTTTTAAAAGGCAATCAACCTAAAAATGACAGAAATAAAAAAACAGAACCAATGGAAAGAATGGGCAACATACTACAAGAATTTTAAAAGAAAACAAAGAAACACTCATATGAACGATGCTCCAGTAGAGAACAGTCTGTAAGACATTTAAATTTAGATCCCAGCTGTTTTTGGAGCCCCTTTAATAAATTCCCATTCTTGGGTGTAATCCAGTCACTACAGGGAATCCATATCAATCAATGATTCATCAGCAGATCAATTAGCGGACCACACTCACTGACTCACCCCTGCACGGTGACAACATTGTGACTCGAATTCAAACCCTGCCTCACTCTGCCACTGCAAGGGCGTGACCTCATTTCTCTGAAACTGTCAGGCTGCTTTCATGTTTCCCAGCCGTCTGGCATCCAGTCATCTTTATTTGTGTTGTTGGATTTTGTCCCCATCACACTATTATTTTTAATCGGTAACATTAGGGTTGACCAAACAAGGACTCCTTTAGTTAAAAGCGGATTTAATTAAAGCGGACCTTTAATTTATCTTCTTCATACGGACAGACAGACCCAGTCCTATTTGAATACATGTGAGATTTGATTGAACCAAAACTGAGCAAAAACGTAGGTCGCTTGTCATTTCGTTACATTTTAAGTCAAATGACCCATAGTGAAGCCTGGTGTAAGCGCACTTTTTACATTCACTTCTTTAGTTGCACAATCTGACAGGGAAAAAAAACTATGTATGCAACAATAAGGTGATTCCCAGTGACTCAATAGGTGAAAACATTGAGTACAGCACAATTGTTTCAGTTTCTGATTCCCAAAATGTCACCAGTGGAAACATGCGACCACAATTATTGCAAGTTGAAGTTAAAAAAACTGATTAAAAGTTGATTAAATAAGAGCATATGCAAAGACTTAAAGCTGCTTTAACAAATTTGGAAATACAAATGTGCTTAAAACATTTTTTTCATGCACCTTAACAACATTCTAACATAGTATAGCTATAAAAATATTGTGGAGATTATTAAAAAAACTTGCACTGTCTAAAAACAACTGTCAATAACAAGTTTTGAACCAAAAGCAAATATTAGACCATCTGCTGCACTTACCTGGGTCCTCCATTCATTACGCATTAGCATATTTTCCGATTCTCTCTCCCCCTCAATTATTAAGAATAGCAATAAGTACAAATAGAAGGCACCTTAAAGCCCATTTTGTTGTTTAATAAATCACAAGCAAGACCAATGTAACCCTCATTTCTGAGATGAATAATGAATAAATGAACACCCTCTTGGAATAAAAGTGCCACGCTGCACATCCATCGCAACAAACCCAAGCGGTTTTGCTAAACTAAAGCTACGGAAGCTCCAGGGGGACAAATAGGCGCCATTACATAAAAATTCGATTAATGTTTTTAATCGCCCGCAACAAAAAAAATTTAATTAATTAAATCGATTTATTGCCCAGGCCTACAACAATCCCTTGAAATTGACGGAGACCGGGAGCTTGGGATTGGTCAAGATGCCACTTCCTTTAACTTTGTCAGCAGCACCGCCATTGTCCTTCAATAAAAAGACAGTCGAAGATATTTAGCGACAGACACGAAGCAGACTGAAGAACGCCTCATAGAAAAAGTCTGAAAATATGAATGTTTATTCGCCGTTCACTGAAGGAGCACAAAGATATGCAGCAAGAGTTTTATTCGTGGATGGAAAGGATGAGGAGAATGTGGGAAAAAAAAACTGTCCCGTGTTAAAAAAATCTCTGAAATACATAAATACAATAATAAATTCATTATCTTGGACTGCATGCATGACTGTAATGGTGGCAGGATAGACCAGAAAAGCGCTACGTCCTCCGTTGTCCTGGCGGGGAATTACTTTGCAACACTCCCCAGGCGACGGAGAAAGGAAAACATCCAAAAGGAAAACATATCCGTCAATGCGTGCGCGCGACTCCACACTCGAGCTGACAGAGAAGTATAAATCAGCCTAAACAGGTTGTCTGCTCAATAATATCAAAAAAGGAGAAACAACCGGCTGCTACCACTTTAACTTTAGGCCAAACTATCAGCGTCCCAAAAAGAAAAACACCATTTGAAGTCACGGACAACAAAAGACGTTTGGACCTAGATAACGGCGACTAGTGTTTAGCACTCTCTCATTTCATCCAGCATTGTGAGTTTCCGGCTCCAGCACAAGTGTCTCAGGGAAGAAACCCAAGGGAATGGGTGAGTGATCCATGACCGCGTTTGCGTTAAAAACCTAGCTTGTTCGTTAAATTCATTGTAACAGCTTTAATGTCTAACACAGGGATGCCAATGTCTGAGACATGACAAGACCCTCTTCACACGCTATAATAGGGCTGGGAGATATGGCCTAAAATCAATACCACGATATATTGAGGATTTCACCTCAATAACGATAAATGGACGATAACTACAGGTATGTGTAGAAACAAATGTTGTCCATCTGATGGGAATGCACGGGTATTAACTTGAGTCATATTTCTACATGACTCAAAATGGTACAGCTTCTAAAAGGGACATGAACGTTGCCAACCTAAACACATCTTTTCATGTTTTTTAATATCGAATTTATTGATGTGGGAAAAATTATGTTGATAAGTCAGACATTTTGATAACAATAAATACATTTTTGATTTATTGCCCAGCCCTATGCCATACCTCCAATTCCTCATGCTGAAAATAAATGCTTGCATTTAATTTTACTAAATTTCTTGACATCAGCTTAGGATCCCACAGTTAGGTCCAGACCATGAACATTTGGGAAGCACAGGACTATGGCACCTCTCAGTTTATGCCAAATCTTTATTTTATTTGTTAAGAAAACTTTAGAAGTCAAGATGAAGCCTATCACAACTGTTTTTCCTCCTACTTCTAAAATCACTTAAGAGAATACAATGGTAAAATATGCCACGGTTGCAATTACTAGACATTTGAAATTCAATTTATTCGATTAAAAAACTAATTCAAATAATCCTTACTGGCACTACTGACTATCAAACAAGCTAAGGAATGAGACTATAGCACCTAAAATACAATTATAAAAAGGCTTTATAACATTCTTATTATCAGGAAGCTTCGAAAAGATTTTTTTGTGCAAAAACTACTTTATTAATATTCAAAAGAGAAATTAGGAGCAAAGTGAGGAAAAAGGTAAATCTTTATTTTATCCTCACCATATCATAGACGTTCAGGATGATCGGCTCGTTTGCCATCACTGGCATCAGATGAGCCCCAAACGTTCCTTCTTCCCCGCGGGTCTTTCCACCTCCTTCCCTCGGTGCGAGATCCAAACTCTCGCCCTCCTAAAACACGCGTTCCTCTTCTTATCGAAGTCACCTTAGCGGATGATGCTCAACTCAATATTTTCACTTCAAAACTCGTTATAAAAGCAGCAGTTTTGATTGCATTTCGTATCCTCCAACATCTGACTGGCTTTGTCCAGAACCCCACAGCGGCGGCGGACAGAGGAGCCTCGTCGCTCTCAAATCAACCGGCTCGCTAAACCCGCTCGGATACCGATGTAGTAAAGAGGGAATGCGCGAGAAAACGTGATGGTATTGAAGCAAAATATTTAGCTCATTTTCCTAAACAGATTACTCAAAGAAACTGCATACTTTTACGACGCTGTGCGCATCATTTTCTCTGCTTGCTACTCATCATTAGCGGGCTAACGGTAGCGCTGCAGCAGTCTCTCTGCATTCGATTATTTAACCTTAGCGCGCTTAGAATTATGGGAGATGAGGTTCCTGATTGTGAAGAGCCATTTCTAAAAAAAACTGTGGAACTAAATTTAACAAAAGGTGTTAAAAAAAGTAATAGTGTTTTGTTTTAATTATTTTTCTCTCATTTGGAGCCCTTTACCAGAAAATAATCTTTGGAAATTGTACAAGAAAGAAAACTAGTCAAGAAATCAGTCATGTTTTAAATGAAAAAAAAAATATGATACAGCAAAAACACATATATATATTCCTTTCATCCATACAGCAGAAAATGTACTGACGACTTAAAGATGGCAAGTGTTTCAAAATAAATATTTATGGGTTTAAATTTCTGCAACCAAGTTCCACAGTCTTAAAGTTCAGTGCAGTGTGGTTTGTTTGCATAAGGAACTAAAGGAGAGTTGGAATGGCCGATGTTAGTGTTCGTACCAGACGTTTCCTCTCTATAACGCCAAGACTCATAAGCCTTCCTGACTATTTTCTTCCAGAAGCTCCAAAAGTGCCTCTTGGCTGGAGAACTCCTGTAGCGAAGAGTTCATCTCATCCAGAAGATCCTCCCCCAACAAAAACCCCTTGACGTCATGCACCGTCATGCCGATGCGATGGTCTGTTATACGGTCCTGAGCGAAGTTGTAAGTCCGGATCTTCTCTGATCGTCCCCTGGAGCCAATCTGAAAGAAAACAACGCTCTGATTGTTTTTATACTCACTCAACAGGGCTTCCATTTTCTACTTTGCAATTCTTCTGTTCCCTATATCAGACTGAATATTTCTTTTTATTCATTCTACATCTTTTGAATTAATCAAAGTCAGCACACTTGTATTTTAATGTCTGCATGGGCTGCTTTGGTTCTCCAAAACACAATCTCACCTGGACTTTGCGCTGGTTGTAGCGCTTGCTAGTCTCCTCCTCCAGCTTCATGCTGTAAAGTTTTGCTCTCAGAGCCGTCATGGCTTTCTCTCTGTTCTTCAGCTGGGAGCGCTCCTGTTGGCACTCTGCAACAACACCTAACAAATACACACGAGCTGCATCAAACCAGAAAAATGACCTCTACAGATGCATTGTTTGATTTATTTATTTAACTAAATGAGTCAATTAAGAACTAATTCTCATTTACAACGACGATCTGGCCAAGAGGCGGCAGCAACAGACACATAGTTAGCTTTACAGTAAAGAAAAACAGATAAGATTAAAAAAAAGATAAACCAGTTAGACATAAAGACAAAGAACTGTTCTCATATAAAATAAGTACAAGCAATCAAAACAGACTTAAAACAGTCTTTTAGTACTCAGAAGCAGGCACATTGATCAGAAACTATTCATGAGTTATTGAAGGTAGTGAACTTCAGGGATTTTTGCAGCTCATTCCAGTCGTTGGAAGCAGCAAACTGGAATGAGGAGCGGCCAAACGAGGTGCGAGCTTTGGGAATAACCATAGAGATTAAGTCACTGGAACATAAATCGTGCTGGTTGCTGGAAGTTACAGTTGAAGATCATGAACTTTGTTTTACTTGTGTTTAAATGAAGATGGAGGTTGGAGAAGGCATGTTGAAGACAATTAAAGTTGTGCTGCAAGGAGGACAAAGCTGCATTCATGGAAGAACTGCATGAATAGAAAATGGTGTTGTCCATATATAAACGTATGAGAACTGGCAACAGCATGAACAATGGTATTAATATAGATTTTGACTGAGGTTGGGCCCAGAATCGACCCTTGAGGAACGCCCATAGATAGAGGTAGAGGAGCAGATTGGTAACCCTCTGTCCTTTATGTTTGAGCCTGCTAAGTAAGATGTTATGGTCTACAGAGTCAAAGGCTTTAGCCAAGTCAACAAACACATCTACACAATATTCCTTATTGTCAATGGCACATATGATGTCATTTAGCACTTTAAGTGTTGCAGAGACACATCCATGGCCAGTTCTGAAGCCGGACTGCATGGGGGTAATATTACTGCTGGATTCCAGATAGTGAGTTAGCTGTTTGTTGACTAACTTTTCAATGAGTTCAGAGAAGCAAAGCAGGATAGACATAGGCCTATAACAGCTTAGGTCTGAATGATCTCCCCCTTTAAAAGGTGGAGTAGCAGATGCAAATTTCCAGTCCTGCAGAGATGCACTAGTTTGTGTGGACAGATTAAATAGAGGGGTAATGGGTGCAGCAATAACACGTGCTGCTATTTTCAGAAAGAAAGGGTCAAGAGTATCCGGTCCGGCTGACTTATGAGGATCTAACCTGAGTAACTCGTCAAGTACCTCATTTACCTGAAACATGGAGAAACAGGAATTGGTTGCAGAGAGGGAATCATAGCATTTAGCTGAGTCAAGGTCAGAGACCCCAGAGACGGGTGAAGCTGTAGCAAAAGCATGACCGGACTTGACGTAACAAGGATCTACACTAGAATAGCTATTATTAAGTAGTTTTCTTGAGTATATGTGTTTGGCCATGTACTTAGCAGTGGGAAAGTGGAAAAATAATCAATCGAGTGGTGCACAGAAGACAGAATTTGTCATTTCCTATTGAGCAATATAAGGCTGGCCAAATAAAGTGTTTGGGAAAAGCCTGTGTGTACTTCTCTGAATGGAAAGAAACATGTGGAGTTTGTTTTAACTGCAGAAGTGCAGTTTTTTTTTTTTACCTGTTGGAAGATGGACGATTCGAACTGCACTGTCTGTTGTGTTGACGTGTTGACCTCCAGCTCCACTCGCTCGCTTTGTTTCAATCCTCAGATCCTTTGGGTTTATCGTGAAAGAAATCTAAAAAAATTGCATGAGAAAACAAAGTGAAAAAAAAAACGTCTGTGTGTTGATAAAACAAACACAGCTGAGAATGTATGACACATCACAATGGTTGGATCGTTTTGGTTCATTTAAGAAAACCACGTGCGATCAGTGGTTCTGCACTATACTTCAGTGGGCTGGGGCAGCACAGCCACAGTCATAGTACTGGTGTGCATCCGGCCTTGTCGTTCGGTCTTAGGAACCCTCTGGACTCGATGAACTCCAGCCTCAAACTTCATCTTCTTGTAGCTCTGCGGGCCGCTGACGCTAGCCGAGGCATGGCGCAGACCTCCTGATGGCATTGGGGGAGGAAGTTCATCAATTCAAATGATTCTTCTGCTCAATTTCAGCGTTTCAATCTTTATGGTCAGTTTCTAAAAAAATCAAACCTGGATCAATTATTTCATTTGTTTTGTGCTCAAATCCCCCCCCCCCCCCCCCGCCCCGTGGTTTTTACAGTTACTGCAACAAATGTTCTAGCGAGGTTCCTTACATTGTTTTGTCGAGACAGCTGGGTGAATAATAAATCATTGCAGCTGTATTTTATCTAAAGGTGGAAGCAGCATATTTTTTATCCATTTTACATGGAGACGACAAATTTAATTCATAATCCCTGGAAGATTTATCAGAGCAGGAAATCCAGTCTCAAATGCAAACTCTACGCAGTATCCCAGACATTCTGTTATTCTGAAGCACATTTTAAAATTTGAAGCATTTACATGAAATTACAAATATAACACCAAGTCTAAATGTCAAATCTATCTCAAGCTTTGCAAAATAAGAAAGAAAATCTCTGTAAAGTCTGCCAGCTTGAAGCTAAGCAACAGATTGTGACAATTCTGCAAATCGCATGGACCCATTAAACAGTTCTACTGGTAATCACATGCAGCACAAGCATGTCTCGTGTCAGAAAGAGCTGCTTAAAGGAGAAACTCTAAATGTTTAAGTGAAGATGAAAAAAGTAGTTTGAGTTTGACTGAGCAATAAGATTGTTTATACTGCCATTAAGGTCTGCACCCACTCACCCAGGTCACTGGGCATGTGCTCCAGGACGTCGAAGGACCAGCCGTGATGTTGAGCGAAGCCATGGTACATGTCAAACATCTTTAAAAGTAAACAGAACAATCAGCTGAACGTAGGAAAAGTACTTAGGATCCCTCCCAGATACCCCACCCCTGTTAGCTGAAATAACACAACATGGGTCTAACTAATTAGAACATGTTATTTTACACAAGTGAACTTGTATGTAACCTGACCTCTGCAGTGAACAGCATGGCCTCTTGACCTCCAACGCCAGCTGTGACTTCCAGGACAAGGTCACTCATATCAGCCTCCTCCTCGGGGATCAGCAGATCCAGGATCTGGTTGGTAGACATGAGATAGGTTTGAATTTTTAAAAAATCTACAGAACTTTGCACAATTGCATATAGAATCACATTAATGTGATATTGCAAATCCTCGTTTTCTAATCTAATTTATTTGGCAGCATCTGGTCAAAACGGACCTTTTGTCTCAGATGTTGAATGTCTTGCAAGCAACTTTCTCTCTCCAGCTCAGCCAGTTCTCGCAGTGCTGGATCTTCATCTATGAAATTCCAAAAACAGTGTTAGCTATTTCTGTGCACTTTATTCCACTCCTTCATTTTTCCTGTCTTTCTTCACTAGATGAAGTGCAAGTGAGAGAAACAGATAACTCCAGATGTTTCCGTGCACCTCCGTTTAAACTTGTTATCGTCTCACCTTTCAGGAGTATCTCGGCCTCTGCAACATCTCTCTGTTTTTTATCCAGATCTCTGATGCTCTGGATGAGAGGAGCCAGCAGGGATACTTTGGTCCTTTTAGCCTTCATTTCATCCGCACAATGCTCATCTTCTGCCACAGTGCCACTGATCACTTGTAAACACTGATTGTACTCGTCCTCCCTCTTTTCCAAGTGTTCCTTTAGAGCGTTCTTAGCAAAAAGTTCATCTGCAGACAGCAGCTTCTGCATCAGTGGTTTATCAGTGTGAAGTGCTCTGTGAGAGCGATGACATGATTCTTCAAGAGAGGTGGGACCGATCACATTTTGAGGTTTGGGAAAGAAATAAGCACTTTCACTTCTTTTCAGAAAAAGATTAAAAAATCTTCTATAAGCCATCACAAATTTAGGTCAGATCATTTACGTAGTAGGAAAAAAAAAATTTCAATTTACAGTGAGTAAACTCCTCTCTAAGCCCAATTTCATTTAATAATCATCCAGGTTTGAGATTGTTATTTTACGTAACAAACCAATATCCCCTACTTTTGTTGAGCTGGTTTTAGAATAAGATCCTGTTATCTAGCGTTTATATTTTGCGAGGATACGCTATTCTTTCAAAATAACGTACTTTTTAACACAAGTTTACATCGTCTACAAATGAAATCAGAAATGTAGCAAAAACAATGACACACTCAGACAAACTATAAGCAATTCTATCATAAAAGCTGACTTCCAAACTGCTATTTTGCTATGAAAATTTTACAAGTCTGGGAAAACTAGCAAACGCCGAGCTAATGTGATCGTAAACCCGTCAAAAACTTCTGTTCGCAGTTTGTCTATGTCGAATAAACTGTTTCCTGACATACAAAAATATAATTTCACTCAAACGTCATCTTTAAGTCAGGTGACCCGCTGTTAAATCTACTTTTTAAAGTGCTGCTACTTTATCACCTTGCTATAAGGGCGCAGACATGTTGAATTTGATGCGCATGCGCAAGAAATTGTTGTACTACTGCTCCCTGTTGGCGCTGTGCTGCCACTTCAGTCTTTCCACATTCTGTCAGTCTTTTTACCTGTACATGAAAAAAACCCGTTTATCTGGACTGTAGTTCTTTTACTTTGATTAATTGCGCGTGTCATATTCGATGAAACTGGCTTTTACTCAGGTTTACTTCATTTATGCAGAAATACACCACAAACGCAGTCATTTTCTTGTACCCATAAAAGTGTTATTGTCATTATAACAACTAATTTATCTGCATAATAAAATGTATAGAGGATCTGCAACTTTACTTTTAACCTGACCTGAGTTGTCATATAAGCAACTGAAAAGACAGCACAGACTTACAGATTAGACTTTTAAATGAAAACAGGAAAGATGCACGGATGATCGTCTGATTAGCATGAACCCCACTATGCAAATATGTCCTACAAGCGCATACAGTACAACGTCACTGACGATATTTTTTATTTGTTTGCCTGTTTTTGTCAAATTTTGCCGTGCATTGAACACCAACTGTCTCATGATGTTCCAATAAGAAAGTTAATAAAAAAGTTCATCAGGCTTCATTAGAAAAGAGATGCAGTTGTTCTGCACGAAAGAAACTACTTATCTAAAGTCTAACACCCCCCCCCCCCCCATTTCTGTGGTTTCAGCAAAAAAGCTACTTAGCACATTCCAGAGAGGGGTGTGAACTATCCTGCGAATAAAAGCATGTTTTCTTTCAGCCAGATGAGCTCTTGGCCGAACTAACCTTTTGCAACCATTGCAATGTTCACACAGATGTTTCTGGTGTTTAACAGTGAAATATTTTCATGCATGGATTTTCCACAGAAACAGAGAAAGAATAGCCTAACAGAGTCATTATCAAGCTTTTGAAAATATAGTTTCAAATTAATATGGCGGATTTATTGATTAGAATAAAAAGAATTGGGCTTCTGGTAGCAGTATAAAAAGGAAACTATATGGGAGATGAGGATGAAAGGTGTATTCTTGTCCAAGACCCGGAAAAGATCAAAATGAGGTACTGATGAGGTATTTGGGGAAAACATGTTATACTGCTTTTTTTTTCAAAACTGTCATTATTTTTATTTTACTGTATTTTATTTTATTTTATTTTATTTTATGAAGATGCTGAAATCCTGATTCACTCTCCTAACCATATGGTGGCGGTATTGCACCGTTAAGCCAACCGCAAATAAATGCTACATGAAGAAGAAACCAGCGCGAGAACGTATGGCGTGCTCACGTTTCCGTACGCAAAGTTAAATCTCATTGGTCGTTCCTTTAAAGGGGTCGACCTCCTCTTCGCTGTTATTGGTTTGCGCCATTTGCGCACGGATTTCAAATAAGAGGCAGCGGTCTGGCGGTGGCGGATTTCATTTAGTTGCTTCGCCGGTGGCTGAAATACAGCTTCTTGGCTCAAAAGAGAGGAGTTAAACTAATTTTTTGGTCATTATTATAGAGGTAAGCGTCTACTTGGTTCGTTTCTCTTATTCATGTAGCAGTTAAAGCGTTTAGCAAAGCATTCTTGGTTCTGCTTTAGCTTTCTTTTTTGCTGTATTTCGGTTGTTTTTAGAGCTAAACACAAGTTATTGGTAAATAACTTGTGAATTGAAATGCGCAGTGAAAGTGAAATGCTTGTGAAGTGAAATGTTATTTTCATCCACTAATCTGACAAACTGAGTTGTGAAACAGCGTTAGGTGGCTTACTATCTTAGCCGCAGGCTACACATGAGGCACACAAAGCACCAACCTAAGTGGATATATTAATAAGCCGCATTCTCTATACGCGTAACCTAAAACAGATTTTTATCGTTTTTATATGCTAGAAATGCGACCTGGGTAATTTACGTCATCGCCATCTTTCCGCCAAATCCATCGCGCCAAAATCGAATGATACTCTTCAAAGTACTTTTCTCTTTGTTTTCGAACCCATTATCCTAATGCATCAGTACCACTTTACCCACTTTTGATATTACCGATGTCAGAAATTGCCACGAAGCTGTTTCCTTTATGCTAAAACTAGCAGCAGCCATGTTGCAACAGCTGCATGTCACATCAGCCGATTTTAAACCCACCCTCACTTTTGCTTTTGTGTTCTTGCAGATTTAATCGGACTGCCCAGTTGGTGTACATGTTTTATTCCAGGACAGAGACAATGAAGCGTCCTGTTTTTGAAGCTACAAAGGACAAAACTATGGAGAAAAAAAGCCCTGCTGGTGCAGACTCAAAGGTGCTTCACCTAAAAGCTTCCCCAATAAAAGATCCCTCATCCTTCAAATCGACTCAGACCCCCCCCTCAGACCTGATCATGGGGCCACTCTCAGCCAAGGGTGGCACTCCTGCAGTTCACAACAAGGAAAACTCCAGCAAGGACCACGACAGGACTCTGGACGAGTGCTTCGAGGACAGTGGTTATTTATCTTTGCACACTAGTCAGATTGATCCCAGTGTGAAACATGACGATGACGACAACGTACTGGGGAGATCCATGATGTTGCAAAATGCCAATTTACTAATTAGATCACCTTCTAAATGTCAAGGAAGGACTAAAGCCAGATCTCCAGCATGTTTGGAGGTTACCACTCCTGTGAATCCTCTTAGAAAGAAGAGTGTCATACTATCATCCACCCCCTGCAGCCAGCACAGTGATTCCACTTTGCCTATTCTGAATTTCCAACAGGAAGTGTGTGATAAGCTTGCTAAGAGCTTTAAAAAGAATAAGAAGTAAGCTTGTGTTTTTCATTTATACAAATATTGAAAGTTGCCTTCGAATACCCACGCAAAACGTTAACGTTGATAATCTGGTGATATTTTGTCTCATTTGATGGAATTGTGTTTTTTTGTTGTGTAGGTATGACTTGAGCATCATCTCTGCAGTTGCACAGAAACATATTTTGGATCGTGTAATCGGCGGCCATATGGGCCTGGAGTATGTCGACATGTTTACATCTCTGATGCACAGGAACATGAGGATCATCCTAAAGCACATACTGTCCTTGTTGGGAGATCTAGATCTGATTAGGTAAATAAAATTAAAAAAAAAAACATCTTAAAAGAGGGAGTAGATAAACAAGTGTTAAGAAAACTGTCAGGAAATTCAGGTTTCTTTGGTTTTTCAGGTTTAGTTGAACTTTTCTGCTGTAATCATTAGTTTAGATGTTGTTATTTTATTTGTAGTCTATATTTATAGGAATATGTGACCTGATTTATGTTTTTGTGCCTCAGCTGTAAGGAAGTAAGTAAAAACTGGAAGCGGATCATCTGTGAGGACAACGCAGCTCTCAGTAGGTGTCAGCAAGCTGAGCAGGCCCTCAGGGTGAGTAAAACCTAAAGTGAGAAATGACAAAATAAAAGACACGTTGGCTATTTAAGCATCAATAATTTGATCTTTTAGGTGTCGAGCGGCTCTCTGGGACAGCGGCCTAGTGGTATGACAAGAGCAGAGTCCAGGGTGGCGCTTTCCTGTATGCAGCCTGTGGCATCTCCCCGCTCTTCATCTCTGTCCAATCAGAGCAGTAGAAGCTCTCGCTTTAATGAATACCTGCAGGTGAGTGCCACCACTGCTTGCTGAGGGACTGTGTTGCACAAGATCTTGCGCTAACCGCCACGTTTTGTTCCCCCCCTTAGGCTGCCAGTAAACTGAAGCAGCACGAGTCTCTGCGACCGTGCAGGCGTTGTGGCTCTCCGGCTTCCTATTTGGCGGAGGCTCAGAGGGCGAAGTGCACTCGCGCCAGCTGTCTCTTTGAGTTCTGCACCCGCTGTCAGGAACCTTTTCATGGTTCGTCCCCCTGCCGAATGGTGCAACCCCGTTTGAACTTCTCCGCCTCCAAGGGGAACGTGATCATACCTGGCAGTGCTCGCAGCAAGAGGAACGTACGACGCCTGTGATGTATTTATAAAGGGGGGGGGGGGTTCTGCAGTAGCAGCTCCAACCAGACCTCATAAAGCTGTTGCTCGCCACTAAAAAAAAAGGAAACATTTCCTAGCTGCTGAACTGAACCAAAAGAGAAGCACTTCAAACCCTGGGGGGAACCAAATGGTGTTTTAAGCTTTTGTTGCTTATGAGCAACACAACGGTGTTCCAAATAAGGAAGACACGAAGACTGATACTCCTTCAGTTGTACAATTTTTAGTGCTTTTAACATGAATTGATGTAAATAAATGACATTTTATACACTTTTAGATATTTTAAATAAATGTGTACATCGGAATCTTTCAGAGTGACTGTATTTGTATCATTCGTGTCTGTAAAATGGACGTTTTCTTAAAATCTATCGGCTATTGTGGTTTTCCTTTCATCTTTCGTAGAGCTCATTTTCCATCGGTTGGTTGGTTGTGCAAAACTGCAGTATTTTACTTATTTTGTGGAAGAAATGTTTCTAAAAGTATTTTGTCATTAAGTGTCTTTGAGATTTCTGGTTTGAATAACGTTCAACTCAATTCACTTTTTAACTATTTTTCTCAACATTGTTGCTGATCTGGATGCAAATAGAAAATTCTTAGATTTGTTTACTTCACTAGAGGGCAGCATTGTTTCCATATTTACACTACTTTTATTTTTTTATTCTCTATAGTCCTTTTTTTAATCATTCAGAATGATTCTGGTACCTTCTAAGAGCAAAGCTAGACTGCAGCAGGTACTGTTTTTGAGGGAATTTAGCATTTTTTTAACGTTATTTTAACAAACCTGTTATATAAGGAGAATGTTTTCCTGTCAAGTTTGTTGGGAAAAGATCACATCTGGTATCTAAAGGAATGTTATTCAAACTTTCTTTAAATCTGCTTTAAACCAACCAGTTCTTCCCATCGCCATTAAACTCTTACATGCCCAGTTTATCCAGTCTCAACTGGTTTTGAAAGAGACTTTACAGCTAGACTTTTAACTACAGTTTCCACACGTCTGGGTAATTTGAAGGATTAATTATTTATCATCTGTAGAGGTTATTATTTTTAGCTGATCAGTGATTTTATTACATGGACCTACATAAGATTTGGTTCACGGACTTGATTTACAAGCAGATCCTGATAAATGTCATTTTTTCTTCAACCAAATCTCAAATCAGAGTAAATGCTTCAAATAAAATTGTAATAAAGCTGCAACATAGGTTTTATTCACACTCATGGCAACAACTCGTGTGCAGACATGTTATTTTTAATAAACTCTGATGCTGTTTCAGGTAAAATGCCTGAAAACTAACGTGGGTGTTGCAGTTCTGTCAGCTGTTGCTTGATAACATCTGCTGACCTGCTGCTTTGGGAAAACACCTGTTTGAAAACAATCATCCAGACTTAGAAAATTCCTGCCAGGATATCTACAATGTCCCCTCACAGGTCTGCTGTCTCTTGCTCGGAGGAGTTATGACTCTAAATGGCGTTACTGACACCGGATGAGTACCTCTGACATTTGCAAGATGACCCATTTGTCTCTCATCTCTGCCTCTCGGAGCTGCGTGCTGTGTTTGTTTTGTTGTGATGATGAATGCACACATCAGTCAGTTCTCATTCAGCTCTTGCATGGGAATGCTTTATGTTCGATAGGATGTCCCGTGGCGCTGAAGGTCATCTGTTACTTAAACCCTTTTTTTATCTCATGAGTGCTGCATTTCTATATTCTCTGAGAAACATAATTTCTTTTAATATTTTTTATGATGAAAAATATGCATGAGAAAATAATTTGAATAAAAATGATTAAAATAATCAAATCTGGTTGATTTTAACCAACCTAAATGTTATTACTGCGAGATGTGTGCACATATTTGTCATTATGACTAAATCAGATGCAGCATTTTTATTATTTTGATTCAAAATTATAACAAAGTTTACTAAATTGAATACTCAAAACACTTTTGGATTATGGCAATTTAATTACAAGAACAAGCCATAACTCTCAGCTGAATTCATTTCCAATGTGGTGCCTATCTCCAGCGGTCAATGGGCAATCAGGCGGGCCGGGTACACCCTGGACAGAGAGCCAGTCCATCGCAGGGCAAGTTTAGGAATTGATTAAAAAAATCGTGTTCACGGAAATGATATGCAACCAAGTTGTTTACTTGTATTCCTCCTGCAAAAGTAAATGTTTTTCAACCTTTTTTATTTTTAACTGAACAATTTTTTTACATACATTTAGGGTGTCAAACATTTTGATTTAACAGAGCAATATGTTAGAATTCTACAGTGAAATAATCACTAAACAGTCTAGCGCCTCAACAATGTTCGAAGGAAGGTATCCAACCTTCCTTCTCAGCCAGCTGGGGTTTTTCTTCCCATCCATCCATCCATCCATCCATCCATCCATCCATCCATCTGCTTATCCGGAGTCGGGTCGCGGGGGCAGTAGCCTAAGGCGAGAGGCCCAGACTTCCCTCTCCCCAGCCACTTGGGCCAGCTCCTCCGGGGGAATCTCAAGGCGTTCCCTGGCCAGGTGAGAGACATAGTCGCTCCACCGTGTCCTGGGTCTACCTTTAGGTCTCCTACTGGTTGGATGTGCCCAGAAAACCTCACCAGGGAGGTGTGCAGGAGGCATCCTGACCAGATGCCCGAGCCACTTCAACTGGCTCCTCTCGATGTGGAGGAGCAGCGGGTCTAAACCGAGCCCCTCCCGAATGACCGAGCTTCTCACCCTATCTCTAAGGGAGAGCCCAGCCACTCTTCAGAGAAAACTCATTTCGTCCGCTTGTATCAGTGTTCTCGTTCTTTCGGTCACTACCCAAAGCTCATGACCATAGGTGAAGGTAGGAACGTAGATCAACTGGTAAATCGAGAGCTTCGCCTTCTGACTCAGCTCTCTCTTCACCACGACAGACCAGTACAACTCCCGCATCACTGCAGATGCAGCACCAATCCGCCTATCGATCTCACGCTCCAGTTTTCACTCGTGAACAAGACCCCGAGATACTTAAACTCCTCCACTTGGGGCAGGACCTCATCCCTGATGCGGAGAAGGCATTTTACCCTTCTCCGAATCAAGACCATGGTCACAGATTTAGAGGAGCTGATTCTCATCCCAACTGCTTCACACACGGCTGCGAACCGCTCCAGCGAAAGTTGAAGATCACGTTCTGATGAAGCCAACATCACCACATCATCTGCAAAAAGCAGAGACCTGATCCTCAGGCCACCAAAATGGATGCCCTCCACACCTTGGCTGCGCCTAGAAATCCTGTCCATAAAGGTAATGAACAGAACCGGTGACAAAGGGCAGCCTTGGCGGTGTCCAACTCTCTCTGGGAACGAGCCCGACTTACTGCCGGCAATGCGGACCAAGCTCTGACACCGGTCATACAGGGACCTAACAGCCCATATCAGAGGGTCTGGTACCCCATACTCCCGAAGTACCCCCCACGGGGCCCCCCGAGGGACGCGTCCAAGCGCCTTAATCCACAAAACACATGTAGACTGGTATGGCAAATTCCTACACACCCTCCAGGATCCCCCTAAGGGTATAGAGCTGGTCCAGTGTTCCACAGTCGGGACAAAAACCACATTGCTCCTCCTGAATCTGAGGTTCAACAATCTGATGGTCTGTCCTCTCCAGAACCCCTGAATAGACCTTACCAGGAAGGCTCAGGAGTGTGATCCCCTTGTGGTTGGAACACACCCTGCGGTCCACTTTTTTAAATAAGGGCACCACCACCCCGGTCCGCCAGTCCAGTGGGACTGCCCCCGATGTCCATGTGATATTGCAGAACCTCATCAGCCAACACAGCCACACAATATCCAGAGCCTTAAAGAACTCCGGGCGGATCTCATCCACACCCAGAGCCTTTCCACAGAGGAGCTTTTTAACCATCTCAGTGACCTCAGCACCAGGTATTTGAGAGACCAGCCCAAAGTCCCCAGACTCTGCTTCCTCACTGGAAGACGTGTTGGTGGGATTGAGGAGGTCTTTTAAGTACTCTGCCTACCGATCCACAACGTCCTGAGAAGAGGTCAGCAGCACACCGTCCCCACTATAGATAGTGTTGGTAGTGCACTGCTTTCCCCCCTGAGGTGCCGGATGGTGGATCAGAATCTCCTTGAAGCCGTACGGAAGTCTTGCTCCATGGTCTCACCAAACTCCTCCCATGCTCAGGTTTTTGCCTTGGCGACCACCCGAGCCGCGTTCCACTGCCAGTACCCGTCAGCTGCCTCTGGAGTCCCACAGGCCAAAAAGACCTGATAGGACTCTTTCTTCAGCTTGACAGCATCCCTAACCCTCTGTGTCCACCAGTGGGTTCGGGGGTTGCCACCACGACAGGCACCGACGATCCTGCTACCACAGCTCCGGTCGGCCGCCTCAACAATGGAGGCACGGAACAGGGTCCAATCAGACTAAATGTCCCCCGCCTCCCCCAGAACATTGTGGAAGCTCTGTCGGAGGTGGGAATTGAAGCTCCTTCTGAGAGGAGACTCTGCCAGACGTTCCCATCAGACCCTCGCAATACGTTTGGGCTTGCCTGGTCTGACCGGCATCCTCCCCCACCATCTGAGCCAACTCACCACCAGGTAGTGGTCAGTTGACAGCTCCGCCCCTCTCTTCACCTGAGTGTCCAAGACATGTGGCCGCAGGTCAGATGAAACAACAACAAAGTTGACCATCGAGCTGCGGCCTAAGGTATCCTGGTGCCAAGAGCACATATGGACACCTTTATGTCTGAACATGGTGTTCATTATGGACAATCCATGACTGGCACTGAAGTCCAATAACAAAACACCAATCAAATTCAGATCGCGCGGGTGGGGGGGTGGGGTGGGGGTGGGGGGTGTTCCTCCCAACCACACCTCTCCAGGTCGCACTGTCGTTGCCCTCGTGAGCGTTAAAGTCCCCCAGCAGAATGAGGGAGTCACCGGAAGGAGCGCTTTCCAGCACCCCCTCCAAGGTCTCCAAAAAGGGTGGGTAGTCTGAACTGTAGTTTGGTGCATAAGCACAGACCACAGTAAGAAGCAGTCCCCCCACATGTAGGCGGAGGGAGGCTACCCTCTCATTCACTGGGGTAAACCCCAACGTACAGGCACCAAGATAGGAGGCAACTAGTATGCACCTCTCAGTGGGAGCAACTCCAGAGTGGTAGAAAGTCCAACCCCTCTAAAGGAAACTGGTTCCAGAGCCATGCGTTGAGGTGAGTCCAACTATATCTAGTCGGAACCTCTCAACCTCACACACCAACTCAGGCTCCTTCCCCACCAGAGAGGTGACATTCCATGTGCCAAGAGCCAGCTTCTGTAGCCGAGGATCAGACCGCCATGGTCCCCGCCCTTGACTACCACCCGTCACACACTGCACCCGACCCCTTTG